CACAAAAAGGTTGGCCTTAGCCGTATTTTTTTTAGCCTATCAATGATCAACCATCAGTGATGAGTGATCAGATAGGCTAATTTATTATTTTACAGGTCCTGGCTTGTATTTACTTATTTATAGTACTAATTATAGACAATTGTGCCGAAAATGAAAAACAAAAAAAAAGAAAATTGTATTCTGAAGATATGGACCCGGGATGGGAAAATTTTCCGTTAAGTAACTTTTGTGTACTAAAAATCAAGCAGGATCCCGGTAGTGGGAGAGTTTTAGGATTTTAAGGACTTATTTCCCATCAACTTTAAAACTTGCAGTTCCCTATGGCTACCTCACCAAGTAAATTACATAGATATAAAGCGTTTATATATATATATTCAATATAAATATTGGACTATAATTAATAAAAAGAAACGATTACTAACGATTCAGTTTCAAAAATGATATATCCTCCACCGACACGATTTTAATTCGTTTGTTTTCAAACGTAAGTTCGGGACTTCCGGTCTCCTCCGCGACCTCGGTTCCGGTACCTGTACCTGTTATCGAAATTAATGTGGAGAAACCCCGAGAAAAAATGAATAGTTTACATTATAATGTAATAAAATTGAAAAAAAAATGAAAATAATAAAGTGAAAATAATAAAGTAATTTAGCTATTGCAGTTTTATTTGTTTAATTAACTTTCTAGAAAAAAAGAAAAAAAAATACAAATAATGCGCAAACAAAATTCACCAGAAAAAACAAACAATTTCTGCTGCTAATTGAATTGTAAAAAAACGTGTTTTATTTTAAAAGCAGGTGGCAGGAAAAAATAGCAATGGCAGCAAATTAAATTTATTTTCTTGGTCTACCGCACCACAGTGGGTGCTTTCACCCTGGTTAAGAACCACTGTTCTAGGGAAATATTTTATACACGGGTTACAGGTGCAGTAATTTGATAGCCTTGTGGGTGGAAAAGGGGGGGGGGGGTTGGTAAGGGTTTGTAAAGGACATTAAAGGACTGATGTAATTTTGGTTACAGGTGCAGTAATTTGATAGCCTTGTGGGTGGAAAAGGGGGGGGGGGTTGGTAAGGGTTTGTAAAGGACATTAAAGGACTGATGTAATTTTTAAAGGGGAGGGGTTCAGAGGTCTGTGACGTTGTATTTGAGGGGGTGGGGGTCTAAGTTTTTGTGACGATGTGGGAAATTTTAAAAATCGTAAAAAATTGCATTACGTCTTTATAGATGGCCCCTTGTCACACTTTGTGCATTTTAAGAATAATGACCTATATTATTTCATAATAACTTAAATAATTTAATTACTGCCTTTTAATTTTAATATTTAGTAATTTTGAAAATGGTCTTATGGATTGTGATGAAATGGGCCGCATATAGACTACCCTTTAAAAAGGATTAAAATGTTGAAAAAAATATTGCGCTGAAAGAAAGATGCCTTGTATCAACTCTCTCCTTTAACACATGTTTTTACCAAACAGCAACAACAAAACATTTCCGTTCTTACCTTTAAACCTTCTCTGTACAAAACTATGTTTATGCACATATGCTTATTATAAAATGTATCCTTTAAACAGATTCGAATCCTATACTATTTTTTCGATAAAGAATATATTCAACAAAGAACCATAATGTTTATCGAGGGTGACTATTGTTCCAGAAACTGTCCAAGTACGTCATTAGATCTAGCTGGGTCATGTTTGCAGGATGCCAAAAGTTCACTTACCACCATACACTTGGATGGGCAGCTTAGGAAACAACAACAACGCAGGTTAATAGAGTAGGATATGGGGAATGGAAACTTAACACCGCAAACAACTCCTACAGAATCTGAACATCTACGTATACTAAATAGTTAGGATATGATCTGTATGATTTTATACATTATACATTTACTACTCGTGACTTATCACCTTTTATGCACAAATCACGAATTAAGTAAAAATAGAATAGTTCTAGTACACATAATTTTGCAAACCGAGTGCATGCCTCAAGACAACCAAATAAATGCAAATATTTTTAAGTGAAAAGAAAGTCACGTAACATTTCTCTCATTTTAACTTTCCCATTGAGATTTTTCATATATTTATATAACAATTATTAGCGGACATTTGATAAGATATACGGAAGGTTTGCTGTCAATTGTTTTTCCATAATACCTCACTGACTTGAAAAACATCTCCATCACATGATTTGATAGGACATACATAAGTAAACTCTTTCTAAGTTTCCGATGAAAGAGCATATACTAATGTTCCACGTATATCATGTATGTGTGCTCCTCTTTAATCTCTTTATGTGCTCTTTCGGCAAATGACGTTTTTTTTTTAAAGAGAATCTCAACCATCTCAAGGCAGTTCCTTTGGTCGATAAAGATTCAACTTACTTGTGACCACGGAATGTCGGATTATGCTCTGAAAGAAACAATATGAAATCAAAATAACCTGTGCCAGCTTTGCCTCCAATTTTTATTCTTCATGCCTATCAACTGCCTCGGAGAATAACTGATTTTTAATCTCATTAGAATATCCAACATACGTTTTGGTGGCAGCCTAATTTGGTGGCACCCAATTCTGGAGGGCCAGGACAAGGGTAAGGCAAACAAGGTAATTGTCTCAAGTGAACAATGGAAAAAGGCATCAAAATGATGAAACATATTTATTAGAAAAAATATTTATACATAAGGGTATCCTCCTGTCTCAGATGAACAAAATATATGCCCGGCTCTGCTGCAAGCATATGTTTCTGGTGGCACGCTGCTGTGCTGGTAACCTGCTCTATTGGCACCCCATTCTTATTTTTAATTTAGATCAGTTATAATATCAACTAGAGCGAGCTCTGCCAAGATATCATTTTCCCATTGTGGTGTCTCTGCTTGCTCTGATAGTAAACTCAACCCACAATATTAGTAATAATGTATCATAAATACAATGGCGTAAGAAGGAGTGGTGCCTACCAGGGTGAGCCAAGATTTTTTGCCACCCCTTTCCACACAAAACCTATGCAATTGACCTAAAATTCAGCCCCTTAACGAAAGAAAAAAGTTATGCCCGCCATCCACACCCTCTTCATATACCACTGCATAAATATAAAAGACATCTTGAATCAATGTAACCCAATGTCTTTCCAACCCTTTTTTTCAAACCCCCCACTTAAGCTTTCAAAAGGGTTCAATCTTTACCCTCACCCCTCCTATCTGGTCAAAATTTTATATATTTTTTAAGTCACTGTGTTATATTAGGCAGATGGAATTTTCCTTTCGGGGCTTGTTTTAGGAGGTCGAGATTCAACTTAGTAGGGTAAAACTTTGGTAACAATAAGTTTAAAATATTTGCATTGCAATAAATCATAAACATGAAGAATTGCTATCTTAAAAAGTGTCACAACATAAACCCCTTTTCTGTCTTTTTTATACATTACCATTTTTATCTCAGAGACAAAATGCCCCCAATCCCAAATTGATGCCATTATAATAAAATTGTCCACCTTGGGACGTAGGCATTGGGGCCGTCCATAAAGTACGTCACACTATTTTTGACCATTTTTACCCCCCTACCCCCTGTCACAAACGGTCACAAATCTTGGACCCCCCCCCCCCAAAATACGTCACACTTTCGAACAAATTTTAAAAAAAAATTAACACCTACAGGGTGGGCCAATAAAAGTGAGAACATCTCGTAAAATATTACGCTACGAAATGTTCTCACTTTTATTGGCCCACCCTGTATTTAAAATTTAATCTAAAACTCACTTCACTATTGAACTGTACTAAAATATAAAATTTCCACTTAAAAGAATTATCACATTATTAAAATTCCTTTATAGTAAAATAGTTAATTGTCAACAGTTGTCACAGTTATTCATTGAAGCAGTAACCCAATCTAGATTGAATTTGAAAACAAATATTGCAAAAATTCACCGATTATGCAATCTTTTTACACATGATAAGAAGTAAATTTGCGAAACTTGACCTCACCCAGTGATTAAATAATAAAAAGGAAACAAAACAATTTGACTAAAAAAGACTAGATTGACAAATCACGTGACAAACACTTGTGCTATATTGAATCAGTTTATTATGGGCCTGTGAATTATGTTTAATTAAAAAATATTCACTGGACATCATCCATCCATGGTGAAGTGAAGTGTCATCCATAGTTACGACTGGCATCAATCTTTCACCATCATCGTTTCCTGGAAGTAATTGCAGACAGATCAACTTCATCCTCATATAGCCACTCAACATCCTCTGAATGTGCATTTATTTTCTCTTCTGGCAATAACTGCCATGAGTTCTCTTTGCCTTCAAGCAGCGATTCTCAAAGGACTGATGCGTTTTATCTGAGTTGATTCTGGAACAGTTTGGGTTGGTACATTCTCCCGAGCCCGAGATCTGTGTTGTCCTGCATGTTTCTTCGACATTGTTTGTGAGGCAAATTTTAAGTGAAATTCTTTTCAAATTTGACCAAGTAAGCTGGTCTGCAAAGATGGACAATAAAGATCATATAGTTGTACTTTGAAAACTCCTGTTGATCTCGGCAAGGCTATACATAAAATAAGGCTTCGCAACAGCATACTAGCGCTCCTAGCGAGAGGAATCGTGAACAACACATTCAGGTTTAACCCTACTCTGTTTTACTCATTTTATTTTGTACTAACCTGATTGCAGTCTCTCCCCTTATTACCACATTCAGGAGATACGCATTTCTTGCTATTTTGACATAAAACTAATTTCAAATGTTTCACAAAATTTTTGAAAATTATTTTTAAAGCTATTAAATTCTACTAAAAGTAATTTATAAATAAAATTTAAAAAAATTAATGTGTGACGTCACACATGGCCTGACACCCAGCCCCCCCCCCTTTTCTGGAGCGTGACGTACTTTATGGACGGCCCCATTGGTGTAACCAGTAGAAAACTATATTATGAAGCAGATCGTGTTTGATGATAGACATATTCTGTAATCCTAAATCATTTGAAAAATTATTTTAAACATTTAAAATAAATCTAAATCAATTATTTCTTATTTTTAAAAGCAGATAATAAATAATTGATGATGAGAATATTTTTTGTAGGCCCTTATTATTATATATTTTTTTCCACAAGCGATCTCTTAAGTCTCGTTTACAACGAGAAAAAGTTCGACATTATTCCTGTACGTCTTACACACAGTAGGAGGACCCTGCAAAATGGTACCACTTGTTACAGAAATATACTTCCTTTTATTTTTGTGAATAAGCCATTCCCTTTTAGAATATCAAGTGTGATAACTGTTAAGAGGGTGTATATTAATATAGAATTTTAATAATGCGACTTGAGTCGGTCACTTACTTTAATTTTAATTGTTGCAAACTGAAAGAAAAGGGGCGGCGAAACACACAAAATGAAAACAAACAAAACTGTCAAAACAAGCCGATGTTTAGTGGCTAGCTTATACAAATACACAATACACTATAATTAAAGGATAACCATATATAATAAATTCACTGTTTCATCCATCATGTAACTAACTAGTTTTTTAAAATAATTTTTGTTCATGAATGACTAAAACACATTTTAAAAATTTTAATAAATAGATATATAATTAAAAGTGCTAGAGTAAAAGAGGTTGTAATTGAATTGAATTGTATTTTTGCTACAAATTGTAGTGAGTTGTTGAGATCAGATCATGACCATGCCACGAGATGAGTTACTATATTCCTGGACAAACAAGGCCCATTATGCCCATTCTATTCTATATAAATTCTAGATCTTTAGAGGATATTATATTATTTAAAGCTATTAACCTACTACTATTCAATAGCCTATTCAAGCTATTCCTATTCTATTTTTAATTATTATCTTTCTTTATAATTCAAATTGACATATATAGGCATACTCCATATTCATGATATTCTACTTCAAGGATAAATAATAATAATATTTTGTAGCATTTGCTCATATATCACTCAGATTTAACTATAATTAATTTTTCATTTCAAAAATTAATAAAGCTGCTTGTTGATTCATTAGGCTGAACCTTGTGCCATGCCTAAGTATGCCTCATACTTGACTTGGATTTATTCAAAAACACCGTCTGTTAAATTTAAGCTTTACCCGCTATTCATTTCCCTGTGTTTTTGCACTACCTTTTTTCCCCACAGCTGTCATCTTTGTTGGCAGGTCACTTAGTCATGTCACGGCAACAAAGGGGAAGGCAGTCCCTTTAAAATAATTACAATCATGGCATCATTGTTGAGCATGGACTAACCCTATACTATGGTCTATACAATCATCAAAGACAAGCAGTCAATTTCTTGATATTTAGTGTTGAAATCTGATATTGCTATCAAGAACTAAAATAGCTTGGCTGAACTATAAGCATAAGTTATATAACTTTAGGCCTAAATATAAGTTTCAGGAAAGGAAATTAGATTATTTTATACCTAAACCAATTTTTCTTAATCAGGCCTATTAATTATTACATATTATTAGCATTATTATTTATATAATGATTTAGTATCTAGTTTCTTAATAGTAAATAGGTCTATGCATTATTGGGTGCTGCAGCCTAATTTAAAAACGAAGTACTGGGTGCAGCGAGTTGGTAGCTTTGAATAATAGGGGCTTCCCAATGTTATTGTCAACATTTTCAGTTTTTCCTTTGTTTCTGCCATTTTGAAAAAAACGTGCCATAGTCACCAGCAATATATATTTTTTCCCCCCATCATTTTTACGCTTTACAATTTTCACCACAGTGTGTAACTAGCCAATGTTGGACAAAAATTAATTTACCGGCTGAAAATGTCACTTAACGGGGTGACCACAAGTCATTACAGTTCTTGCAGTTTAACTAGAGGGACAAAATAAAGTTCTATGTTGGCCACAAAATTTATGTATGAGGAAGGAAGTATGGCGCTCTACCTTTAGCGAATTATGCTTAGTGCGCTTTGCACTCTACCCATCTTGTAATAATCTTACCCTGCCCATCACCGGCCTTTAAAAGAATGCTTTCTTTACATTAATTTCTCACTTTTTATTTAACTGCAATCATACTTAGGTATGGCCCAGTTCAGTCTAAAACAGATCCTATAAAATATATTAATTGATACAATGTTTTAATTTTTATATATGCTCCACCAATCAGTAAATACCTTATACAGAAAAAAAGTAATATCAACTTGATGCCAGTGTTTGTCAAGAGTACAAAGCACCATAGGCATAATTTGGGATGCATTGGGTTTGCGGTTTTATACAAAATGTTTACATTTTAGGTTTCATCTAAAAGGTTATCGAGTATTATGCAAGGTGATATGAAAGCCACAAATGAAAGACTTTGCAACCATTAGTTCTATAAACTAAATGTTATATTAACTAATGGGTTTACATTAACATTGTTTTTAGATAACTTAATTTTAAAATAATGGTGCACAATAGCCTTTTTGAAATAGAGAGTTTTTATTGCAGATTTTAAAAGCTTGGAGATTAAGTGTTTTTATTGATATTTTTTGTGTGGGCCTTTGATTTCTTGACATTCTTTGTTGTTTTACCTCTCTTTTTGATAAAAAAAATAAATATTTTATCATTATAATGTTTAATTGAATGTCAGGAATAATATGGTTGTTGTTCAAAATATATAGGCTTAAATACAGTTATTTTTAAAAAATGTGGATTTGGACACATAATTAGGCCAAATTCCTGATTACACAATTTAGGTTTTTATAAAGTTTTAAGTCTCATTATCCTTTTTTAACAAAAAAAATTATATAAATATGCTTTTATTTGATTGAATATCATCCTGCATTTAATTTGACGTTTTGTAAAATAATTTTATTTTAGAGCTTTTTCGGGTTTGGGCAAAGTGCTGAGATCGATATAGTTTTGGATGGACAGGAAAATAGGAGAACAGCTGAAATCAAGACAGAAGATGGCAAAAGAGAAAAGTATTACCTTTACTTTGATGGTGAAACAGTGTCAGGAAAGGTATGCTTCTTGCTGTTACATGCTGCTTGATTCAGGGCAAACCATCAGAGCATTATTTAAAAAAAAAGGATTATTCTGTTTTGTGAAATTTTCTTTTCTGCATTTCTGGCATTGCTAGATATATTCACATTAAGAACAATGGTTTGTGATATTTTTTTAGTACACAACACAGTTTTACTTTTTATCTTGCTTCCAGGTCAATATAACACTGCGAAAAAGTGGTAGCAAATTAGAACATCAAGGCATAAAGGTGGAATTCATTGGACAAATAGGTAAGATTAAAATAAAGATGATATCTCTTTTCATCTTCTCTGCCAATTTTTAAAAAATTTTGGACTAAATTTCTTTCTTTTTTAAATCTGAGCAAGGAATTATAATTTCAGAGATTTATTTCTGTTTAATTAACTGAAAAAATGTTGATAAAGATAAAATAAGTTAAACTCTATATTATTAAATCAGAAATTTATATAATTCATTATGCATTTAATACAAACAAATGTATTACATTTTTTTTAAAAATTGAGATTAATAATGGTTTGGGAATTAATAATTAATGCAGCTATTTATGTGGTTTTAAAAATGAATAAGGTATATATAAAAGTATGGGATAATTGACTCAATGACATCTATTTGTTCTCTGCTCAAATTACCATCGCAAGTTTTGTGATTGGTTAAAAAGAAATTATTATGAAGAATTACTACTCAGTATGGATGTTAAACAGCAGTTGGATTTCCAGTTATCGGTTTTGGAACTGAAAACTATTTTACTCAACAATAATCAATTTTTTATAAAAATGCAACAATATAAGATGGTCCCAAAGATGGAAATCCGAGATCGATTTGCCATTGCTTCCATGTATTCTGATTAATGTTAGTAAGTTAAATGCTGGTGCCAAAATGTGTTGACGAAATTAGGGTTGTACCAATAATAGGTAATTTGCCAATCAGCTTTTTGGGACAGATTAATTGGCTAATGAGCTTCCTGAAAATACAAGTTTTATTGGATGTCAACAAATGTGTACCAAATTAGTTATGTCCAAGACTTTTAAATGCTATTATACATTCCCACCCCTCTTCCCATATTCACTAGTTATTTTTTTTTCATTCTATGATGTCGTCAGTGTTTACACATGACACATCGGACACCAAAATAACACTACCACATTTTTACTGAGTTTTCAAGAGTTCATTATCTTGATATGATGTAAAAAAAAAACAACAAATTATCTGATGTTTTAGCCTTTAAAAATACACTAGTGCGATTACAGACCTTTTTTACTCTTACAATTTTTGCGTGTATACATTATACATACAGTATGTTTATTTTTTACTATTTAGATAATGTATGAAACGATTTTGTGATGATATTGTACGATTTTAAGAGTTGGAGGGTAAACAGGTCTGCGATTTTAGCAGATTATTATGTGCTGTTATTTTACTTTTTTAACTCGGGGGGTTATATGGCTCAAAATATTAGTTTGATAAATTATTAGCTTGTACATTTAAATAGCTGAAGTGACTCAAAAAAGATTGTCCTGTGCACTGAAAGGATCAAAATGTTTTGAAAAATTTTTTTTTTTTTTTTTTTTTTTTTTTTTTTTTTTTTAAAGGTTTTAAAATTTTTTAAAAATTTTTTTTTTTTTTTTTTTTTTTTTTTTTTTTTTGTATTGGGTGGGGAAAAACCAAGAGTTTAAATCAAATTAAAAGAAATGTGTGTATTATGACTACGTTTTCATGTTTGAACTAAGATAATAGAAAAAGAATTAACAGCAACGTAGGCGGTAAGGTAGAAAGGCAGGGAAATCTTACCTTAAGAAGAATAGACTTTTGTTTCAGTAGGTGAATCTTTCAAATTTTAATTAACTTTAATTGATGTAATAATTTCAAAAAGAATAAAAGGATGTCTACTAATGGCACAAATACGACTGCCAGGTTCCCCGAGTAATCGGCCAGTTTGCTAATGGGTACAACCCTAATCAAAATGGAACAATTCTAAAACATAAATAAACTATCAATTTACACTTAAAATATTATAAAATATCATGTAATTCTGACTTTGCTTAGTTGAGAATGCTTTGTAAAAAACATATTACTGATTTAAAACTAGTTTTCTAAAACAGTGGCTGTGTGCTAATTGTTGGAGTTTGCTCAGTTGTAATTTTAATATATCCGTACCCATGGTATAGATATACAGACCTGTTTACTCTTACGATTTTAGCGTACAATGAACGATTTTTAGATGTCTTTTACGAGACCCCACCAAAACTACCATTTTCAGAGACCTGGTGAAAAATTATTTGGGTAATTTTCTCAGAATAAAGAAAAATTTGTACATTTTTCGGTTATGGAATTTTTAGCCCTTTCAAATAAAGATCTGGCAGTGCATTGACAGAGAAAAATGATTGGTTGTATTTTTTGTTTAAGTTGGAACTATCCTTCATTATATTATGTATGCACTGAGAGGGGAGGTGGAGGTTGTTAAGGAGATTTGTGGCATATGAGACGCATGGGTAGGGGGATTGTTGGGAGTGTCAATGGCTAAAATAATATCACAGCAACATATCTTATTGATGGTGATGATAATATCATATTGTGGGGTAGTTTACTAAACACGTCTTTCCGTGCTGGTGACTTTATTATTTAGCTCGGCAGAACCAACCTTCCCCCACCCTCGTTAATGGGAAACAAATTGTGCCGTCGCCTAGCCAAAAAGACGCCTGATTTTTCCATTAACATACCAAGTCTATTGAGGGTGGGGGAAGGTTGGTTCTGCTGATGGAAATAATTACGTCACCAGCACAGAAAGACGTATTAGTGGACTACAGTGTGTTGTCACTGTCATGTTAAATATTACTACTACAGCGATCTCTTTATGAAAACACAAAACATCAGTCTAGGCGTACCGGTATACGATAACTACGAAAAATTGTGGTGATATTTTTATAGCCTCAATAATAATAGGCCTAATTAGAATTCATAAATTTAACAGATTTTCAGGTGACAGTTGGCTCTATAAGAGACTGCCAGGATAATTATTGTAGAATTTATGCATAAATGTAGGAGCATTCTGGTGACACATTCCCCTCCCCCCCCCCCCCCCCCCCCCCTTTCCCATCAAAGCTGTCATAGGCATCCTCAGCACGTACTTAATTGTTGGATAGCACCTTACGTTGACAAGGTGTGGATTGTACGATTTTTAATACCCCTCTTCCTTTCTCCCATTTACACCTTGTGGTCGTAATCTGGCAGTAATTTGTTAACGGGAAATAGGCATATGGATATTTATTATTTTGTTTTTTAAAAAACAGCTTGTCCCAAAAAATAAATCTCAGGCTGCTTGGTAGGTTGCTTTTTTTTGGTTTAATGATGCCCCAGTTTGTTACCGGGTAATTCTTACTGTAATACATTTTATTTGATATGAGTTCGAGTTTGAGCCACGTTAAATGTCACCGGTGACTTTATTTTTACCAATGACAGACTGGGATAATGTGATTTGCACGTTCACCTAAACATTAATTGATATCTATAGCAGATAGACGTCTACAAAACAAAGTGACCGCAATTTGCAGTTAACGTCAGTCATCTACTGTTTACCTTCAGTTTCATTTTTTACGCTAGCTTAATTAACTCGATTCCCCTGAACACCCTATTCGAGTAGTTATTGTAAACATAATATATAATGTATTTTTATTTATTTACTATTAAGATACCATATTTTATGATTTTGAGACGATATTGTACGATTTTAGGAGTTTAAGGGTAAACGGGTCTGGATATATCTGTAAAAAAAAAGAAAAAAATAAGAATAACAAGACTATTTTATCACCAACAGAATTGTACTATGATAGAGGTAATCACCATGAGTTCACATCGTTGGTCAAAGAATTGGCTCGACCTGGGGATCTTACTCAGAGTACAAGTTACAACTTTGAATTCTCACAAGTGGAAAAGCCGTTTGAATCTTACACAGGAGCAAATGTTAGGTTACGGTGAGTACAGTTTTACCCTTGAACATTAATGTAAACGGGTGAGCTCTCGATTCTTTTTTTTTTTATAGTACTAGGGCAGGGGTCTCCAAACTTTTCAGTCCGAGGGCCGCATTAACTATCAAACAGCAGTTCGGGGGCTGCATACACACGCGAAGTCCAAATAACAAAGAATCAAAACACGGATGTTGTTTCTAATTATTTATGTATTATTATTTCATTCAGTTATTGTTTAATAACACATTGATACACGACACATGAACACCTGTATTAGTATGAATAGTGAACTTGTTTCCTGGATGCCAAAATAGCAATGATTAGCAGACATTTCTGGATTTTGATTTGATGTCCCTAACAAAAACAGTGACCTGAGACGATCATCGGACATATTTGTTCTCAAATTGTTCTTCACTTATTTTGTTCTTGAAAATGTTTGTTCACACAGGCATGTTGTTCCAAAGTTGAAAAGGTACATTGATGCAAATGTTTTGAAATTAGGAAAGTCTTCCTGGGGCGAAAACTAGTTTAAAAAAAAAACACTGTTCCTTCTTTTAACCTGTCCCTAAGGAGGTCATTTGCTTGCAACTCAATGACCTCCGGGTGCAGTTCATCTGGGCAACTGGCCACATTTGCTTCAAATGGGTTTTGAAAAAGTCTCACTTCTTCTGCCTTTGAATCCAAGTCAGAAAACCGCTGCTGACACTGCTGATCTTTGATGATCTCGCATACAAATGACGTGGGGAACTCCGCTGTTGCTTCAGCCATGAAGACCGTCCACTGCTGATAGTGCTTCAAGTTGTTGGCCTATGTATTTGTTCCAAAAACCAAGACAAAATTGGATTTGAAGGCCTATAGAAAGGTGTATAGGTCAGAAACTAGATTTTCCTCTCTCCTTGTAGTTTTAGGTTCAGAGAATTTAAATGACTAGTTATGTCTGCAGCAAAGACCCATTTCCATATCCACTCTTCATCAGACAGTAATGGCCGTGGATTGCCTTTACTTTCAAGGCAGTCACCTTTTTCCTTTCTTAACTTTAATACTCTGCTCAGAACTTTCTCACAACTTAGCCATCTTATTGCTGTGTAAAATGGTAAATCTTGCGATTCTGTGTCTGTATCTTTTAACATGTCTCTGAACTGTCTATGGTTGAGCCCATGTGACCAAATTAAATTAACCCTCTTTACCACAGGATTCAGTACGCTGCTAATGTCCACATATTTTTCACACAAAGCTTTCTGCTGAATAATACAGTGCAGGAACATTCGTTGCAGAATTATGTCTCATTACACATGTGCTTCACTTGTCCACCCAAGCCTTTCTTTATGCCACTCATGTTCTTTCCTCCATCAGGCAACTGTGGTTAGTCCAGTCCAAGTTATAATCAGCAAATGTTTTTTTCAACTCATTGAATATATCCTCTCCTGTAACAGTGGCGTACATGCTATGTAGGGAAGCCAGCTCTTGTGTTATTTTCATGTCTTCATCCACACCTCTAACGAAAACAAGCAGTTGAGAGGTGTCCAGCGATTCATCCATTTCAATTAAAAATTGGCGAAACTTGCTTGCATTTTTCGCTGTTTGAGTCACAATGTTTTCACCCATGTCTGCAACACGGCGGGCTAGCTCCGCCACTATATGGCGTTATATCATCTCATTGACTGTGAACGGAAGTAGATAAGCTAAGCAGCGAATAAGGTTTTGCCAAGTCATGATCCGTTAGAAAACATAACGCACTACTGCGCGCCTCTATTTTAATTTGGTAAAACATAACGTCCACGCGTAGCGGCGTCTGATCTTGGCAGGATACACGTAAATTTCCGTATTTTTTTCCGTAGACAAAAAGGTCTCCGCGGGCCGCATGCCATAGTTTGGAGACCCCTGTACTAGGGGAATGAGATTAAGACTGCTATCTGAAGAATCAAATGTTAGAACTGCTAAAATATAGACAGAAGATGGTAAAAGAGAAAAGTATTACCTTTGCCATATATTTATTTACTACTGCGGACCGGTTTACTCTTACGCTTTTGGCGTACAATGTACGATTTTATGCATACATTATATATACTGTATGTTTATTTTTTAATATTAAGATAATGTATTGAACGATTTTGTGATGATATAGCAGGATTTAAAGAGTTTGAGGGTAAACAGGTCTGCTACTGAGAAAAATCAGGAATTTGTTTGTTATTCACCAGCTAATGTTTCTATTAACGCATTAACTATGGCTAAGAGTAGGGTTTCTTGTTGTTGTTTGGTCTATGTTCTTAATTTTTAAAACATTTTTAAACACATTAATGGTTAATGAATAGATTATTTTATAACTTAAAATAAAAATGTTAATTTTGTTCTATTGAAATAGGTAAATGTCGTTTTTTTGCGGTAGAAGTATGTTTAAATGTAATAGTGATTTACAATTAATATACCTTATGCCTGTAAATAATCCATGAAATCTTTGGTAGTAAATTTATCCATTAATTACTTACTTATGCCTTTTACCACATCTGAGGCATAGGCCGTCTACAAGAATTTCCCATTCATCTCGATCCTGTGCTTTCCTTTTCAGTTGCTTCAAGAGGTATCTGCCTCTAGCTCACGTCTCCGTGTATTTTGTGGACTTCGTCTCTTCCTTTTCCACTATAAGGGTTATTTAGTTTAATTTATTGTTCTTTTTATTGACCTTCCTTCCTTGTCTTTATCTGGTCTCTCTGGCATCCTGAAAGCTCTCTTGTTATATCATTAATCACAGAGATCTTTTATGTTCCCCTCTCTGGCTGCCTTTTCTGCTGTTGTTGCTAGACCATCTATGTGAGCTCTTTTATCCTTTTTAATACCGTTCTTTACCTTTCCATTGGCTTCTTTATATTTTACATGTGCTTTTGTTTTCTCTGCCCTGGTGCCGCGATTGTTTACTGCTGACTTCATTTTCATTTCTTTCTTCTGCTTATTCTTTGCAATGTGTTTGAGCGAGAACCAATCTTTGTGCTAGGTGAGAGACAATCGTGTTGAGTGTGAACCAATCTTTGTGTTTATGCTTCACTGGTCTTAATACCTCATTGCACATGGATCGGATGTTACGAATGAAGCTCTTTCTGGTCATTAACTGTTAGCTTGTTACCATAGCTTGTAGTCTATTGTAAAACACTTCTTTTTTCGTCTTGCTACTATTGTTGGTAAGTGCATAGCACTGTATAACATTCATATTTATTTTTTTTCTTCTTGGTTCACAATGTTGCTTCAATAATTTTTGGATCATGGGCTTTCCTATTAATGCCCCTTGTGTCATCTGTGACATCATGAAAGTGACTCCTTGTGTGTGTGGAGCATTTCCCTCCTCAAGCCCTGAGAGTATGTTTCTTCCAAGGCCAATGTCTAGCTTGTGTCCATCTTGTTTCACAAATTCTGAGCAGAGTGAGCTTGTATGTTCTCATGTCTGCCATCACTTGTGCTGATTTGCCTGTCTTGTGCATGGTTCTCACATTCCAGGAGTCTGCTTATTGCTTTTGAAAGGAGGGTCCTCAGCTTTGAGGCTTCTGGTATAACCTGGCTTTGGCTGAAAACCTTCATAAGTCTTCTTGTGGAAGAAGAGCCCTCTCTTATCAGGGCTGAAATCGTTTATTTTTGTTTTCTTGTTGAAGTTTCTGCAGCAATTTTTTTTTTTTTTTACAGGTGAGGTAGCTGGCCTTAGCCAACCCTCCTCCTTTTGCACCTGGGGTTCGGGACCTGCCATGGCAGAGTTTAGTTATTCATTTAATTTAAAAATTAATTAGCACAAGTTGCATAGTTACTCTAGACCAGTGTTTCCCAACCTTTTCTGTGCCATGCCCCGCCTAAGCCTTTCTAAAATTTGTTTGCCCCCCTCCCCACCCCCCTCCATGTATCCCATACATAATTTTTAATATTCAAAAATAGGGTTGTTCACTGAAGAAACTTAAATGATAGGTTTTAGGAAGAAATCTCTAGGAAATTGGTGGGAAACATAATAAGGAAATTTTCAAAACATTTAATGGAGAACTGAAATTCAAGTACAAACTAATTTTAATTAAAGATTTTTCTATATTATTTTAAATATTAGTAATTATTTATAATTTAAATTTATTGAGATGTTTGTGCTTGATGCTTGCAGCAAAGAGATTTTATGTTAGGTTCTAATTTAGTTAGCTTCAGTCTCAAGTCTCCTTATAGTGTTATATCCAGCCGATTTTTTCTTTCAACAAATCGTTTATGGCACTAAATCCACATTCAGCTAAATCTGGAAACGGTAACAATAGCATTCTTGTACATTTGGTTAAATTTGGATATTTGATTTGTTTCCTCATAAAGCCATGCCATCGCTCCTTTTATATTAAAGTTTTTACTGACTCATCATTTTGCATTTCTGCGAGTTCTTCCTAAAAATACTTATTTGAAGTATCAGACAAATCCACAAACATTGGCTGCATCATCCAAGTTGGAAAATCAATTTGTTTTAAATGAAAAATCAGCTGATAGAATTTTCAGATGATTGACAATAATAAGTATTACAGTATCAGTCACTTCACATTTTTGGAGCCAAGGAAACTTTTCAAAATTTTTGTTGTAAATATTTCTTCTTCTTCTATATATTAAGGGCCCACAATCAATTTATTGATCATTTTGGCTCCTATGCATGTAGATGGGATTTGCAATGTTTCTGTGCCTGGTGTTGAGGACATTTCACTGATTTCCAGTGCCACTTTGTGAGGGAATCATGCACTGAGGGTTTGAGTCAATAGACACAAATGAGTCTAGTGTTGTCGCTTCAACCGTTCCTTTTGAAAGCCTGTTCCATTCCCTGATTGTCTCGGGCAGGAAGGAGCAGCTCCTATACTGGCTTCTTGCTGGTATGAGCCTGAATTGCCTGTCATGGCCTCGTCGCTGTCTATGGGGAGAGGGACGGGTTTCTGTTTAATACTGGAACAGTGGACCAGCCCATTATTTATCTTGTACATCATGGAGAGCCTGGATTGTCGTCGTCGTTCCTCCAATGGTGACCACCTAGTGTTTCCAGCATCCTGCCAACACTAGAGGTATTCCTGAAGCGGTTTAGGACAAAGCGTGCTGCCCGTCGCTGGACCGCCTCCAACCTGTCAATGCTCTTCTGGGTGAATGGGTCCCAGACTGAAGATTTATAATCTAAAACCGGACGGACAAAGGCTTTATATGCTCTTTCTTTCACACAGGAGTTGCCAATCTTTAGATTACGCCTTAAGAACCCCAGGGTCTTGTTTGCTTGGTTAAATACATTGTTAATATGCTCGTCCCGGCGGACCTCTTTTTGAATGGTAACACCCAGGTACTTTACGGAGGAAACTGGCTTAAGTATATGGCCTTGCAGTTTGTATTGGTAGTGTAGAGGAGTACTACTTCTAGAGACTGATAGTGTCTGGCACTTGGCAAGGTGTAATTCCATGTCCCAGCTCATCTCTCACTCAGCTAACAGATTGAGATCCTGTTGTAGCTGGTCCTGGTCAGATCTGTTGCCGATCGTCCTATAGACCGCTGTGTCATCTGCGAACAGTCTTGTTTGGGGATGTCAGTTTCTCAGGTAGGTCATTAATGGATGCTAGGAACAAACAGGGGCCTAGCACTGATCCCTGTGGGACCCCTGACTTCACATCGACAAAGGAGGAGCTTGTACCGTCCACCACTACTGCTTGGCATCGGTGGCTGAGGAAGATAGAGATCCATGCTTTAGTGCTGCCTTGGATCCCATATCTCTGGAGTTTGTGTCGAAGCAAACTATGATTCACACGGTCAAATGCCTTTGCTAAGTCCATCACGTCAGTCTGCTTGTGGTTCTTCAGATTGGTCATCACGTCTTCTATAAATTCAAGGAGCTGGGTCTCACATGATCTATTGACTCGGAAGCCATGTTGACAGTCATTGAGTATATTTTGGCTTTCAAAATGCTTCATGACTGTGCTTACGATTATGTGCTCCAACAGTTTGCAGACCACGCTGGTGAGGGATATCGGACGATAGTTGCTCCCCTTTCTTGTAGATTGGAGTGACATGCGCTGTTCTTCAGTCTGCTGGAACATTTCCTGTGCACAGCAACGATTATTTTTCTGGCATAATTCAATAAAGGTAATGAAACCAAATATCTTCGCTTTTGCACCAACAAGAGTTTTATTTGTTCCTTGAAGTTGGTTATTCAATAAATTTAGTTTTTCAAAGATATCGGCTAAATAATTCGCAAATGCTTTACCATGGACCATTAACAGATACTTCATATCAGAATTGTCACTTTAAAAAATCGTATGAGTATCAAATAGTTGCCATAAATCTTTTCAAGCAATTCCCTATCTCTTACACACTGAAATTAATCTCATATTTTAAATTTATGGCTCGTTCAAACAGTGCCTAACAAAGGACGATACCATATAGAAATACAATAACACAAGTATGACACCCAAAACAGTACCAATTACAATTAATACGATTTAATTCAGTAATAATACAATTATAAACAAAAGAAATATAATTACAAATCATCAGCTTACAGGGTATGGTAGAACTGGTACCAGTACACAATTAGTACAAAGTATCAATGAATGAAGAATGAAGAATGCGAATAAACTCATATAAGCACACAAAGAATAATACACGTCTCGTAACGTTATTAAAACCTATCTGAATCTCCGTCTGAATCTCTCTCTCTCTGTGCCTGTCAATCCTTTATATATGTGGGTCTACCGACGCGTCTAGAAAACACCTTTACTTTTCTAGAACAAATCGAGATCATTCTACAAAACACTAGGAGGCAGTCTAACATGTTTAATTGGTAAACACGGTTGTAAACAAAGATACATCAAACGAATAGGCCACGCCCACAACAAACGCTAACATCTGCTAGGGATCTAATTTGGGTCAAGCAAAATTCAAGCACGGGGAATGTATGTTACATAACACTGTCAAAAGCCATTTTACTTCAGTGTAAGTAAAAGTCTCACATAGTCTGCATTTTGTTCTTCACAAAATAGCTTGAAGAGATGTTCGTATTTGGCATTATCTTTAATAGCATTGATACGCTTTATAACTGAATTTTGTACTTCATTAAGAACAGGCGAAATTGTTTTTAGCCACTAAGTTTTCCCTATGAATAACACAATTCACAAGTAGCATTTCTGGATTCTCATCTTTCATCAATTGTAAGCAGCCATTTTTCTTGCCCATCATATTAGGAGCACCATCTGCAGCACAAGATGTTAAAATTTTTCATTGGTATATTTTGACATCTAAGTAATTTTTTAGCTCATTGTAAATATATATCTGTGGTGGTAGTGGTGCTTTCTAATGATTTACAGAACATTTCTTCAGCAAAATACCCTTTATCAATGTGTCTTATGTAAGTTATCAAAACAGCCTCAATGTCTTTCAAAGTTGATTTATCCATTTGCACTGAGGATTTTCTTGTTTTCAGCAAGTTGTATTCAACATCTTCACTCATTTCATCTATTCTTCGGCTAACAGTATTTTTACTGAGTGGCATAGCTTTCACATCTTTGTCCTCTTTTTCCAGAACCGTTTAAAAAATGCTCATATTGATGGTTTGATTAAATTCTCTCCTATAGCATGATTTTTCTCGGATTTAGCGATGAGTTAGTAAATTTCATAATTAGATTCAAGAGTACGATTGATAGTTGAAGTATGAGCAGTAAATATAGACTTTAATGTTGCTCTTTTTTCAAAATACAAGTTAAATCATAGTAGAAGGTTGGTTTTCAAAGTCTAGACAGCTCATTTTCCAATTGCCCCCCTAAACAATTAAATTTCCCCCCCTCGCCCTACGTTGGGAAAACGGCTCTAGACAAAGCTTAATCACCACACGATTTTAAAAAGAAAATAATAAGACAGCCATTTTAAATAATTATTATATTTTAATTGCACACAGCCCTAAAACTTTTATAAAACCGGAAAACTCTTTTGGGGAAAATAATATATATTTGGATTGGATGCATTTTGAAAATATAGTTTATTGGATAAAGTCAATGTGTTAAATGCCCTCAAGCTAACTTCCCATGATGGTATTGAAAGTGGATAGACCAAGGAAAACAAAACCACAAAGACAACCAAGTTATCCCTGCACAATAGAAAAGCCTCTGCCGAAGCAGCTCATAGACAAAAATGGCATTCCTTTACAATTTACCTCCAGCACCTAAATATGCATGAGGACTGAAGGAATGGTCATCGTCCTTGTATATAAACATTATTCAACATGGCTAATATTAATGCTGCTTAATTGTATGTTAACTATTTCTCTGATTTTATTATCTTACAGGTATTTTTTAAGGGTAACAATTGTAAAGCGCATTTCCGACACAGTGAAAGAGCAAGATATTGTTGTACACACATTGTCACAGTACCCAGAAATGAACTCAAGCATTAAAATGGAGGTTGGCATTGAAGACTGTCTACATATTGAGTTTGAATACAATAAATCCAAGTATGTATTTTGTTTTATCAGTCATTAAAATTGTATTGATTTCTTTGAACTTCTGAAAGTTATAGGTTTAAAACGCAAGTTGTTTATAATAGCTCTAAGAGTCGTTCACATGATCAAATTAGCTTCAAATTTCGCGTCAAATTTTTGTACGAATGCACTATTATGTGCGTGGTTTCTTTTTTTGGACAGAAATAGGAATTTTATCAAACAGTAATTTGCAAGTTGTTACAAGGCTTCATACAAAAATTGCATCAAATGCATTAAAGAAAATTTGATTGTGTGAACTGACGCTAAGGGAGACAAAAATAAGCCAAAATACTTAAAGAAAGTCTGTATCAGTAGAAATAGGTTTAAGAATATTAGTGGAAATAGGTTTAAGAATATCAGTGGACATAGGTTTAAGAATATCAGTGGAAATAGGTTTAAGAATATCAGTGGAAATAGGTTTAAGAATATCAGTGGAAATAGGTTTAAGAATATCAGTGGAAATAGGTTTAAAAATATCAGTGGAAATAGGTTTAAGATTATCAGTGGAAATGGGTTTAAGAAGTCTTTATCAGTGGGAATAGATAATAAGGAAATGATTTGAAAAAAAAGCCCCAGTACAAGATAAATTATTTAACCATAAAAAATAGAAAATAAGTTAGCAATACAGATTTCAATTGTATACTCGAGGAATGCTTGGTGAGCAATAATTTGAGGCATCAGTGAAAAATACATTTGCAGTGTTCTATTAATTTTTTAATATTTCTTTATCCTTTTTAGAGTTAATCTTGTTCTGCCTTTTTCTTTTTTTTTTCTTTCTGTTTTCCACAGACACATTCACTGTATTTGATCTCACATATAACTTTTAATTTATCTTTTTCTATCTTTCTTCTTATCCACACCAACAATTCTTCCAAGCAAAACATCATGCCCAACTGGATAATGAAAAAAGCACTAATACTCTTCTTGAGTTTGGCAAAATAAGACGCAACACTTAATAATGATCTATGAAGGTGTGTTGCGACCATCAAATTATCCTCTAATGCCATCCCTGGGCAGTTTCAGTTTAAGATCTCTGGCCTAAACTATCATCAATGTTGATTCCATCGCTCATTATCAGTTACTTACTTATCGTTTATTATGTTGTCATGGCTGAAGATATCACTTGAAAGATGTGATCGTGGGTAAGATCTATTTCCTGCTGGTGAGGATCAAAATTAGATATATGGAGCTGGCAATAGTTAGAAGAGAAACAACAGGGGCAGGTACTTAACTATTGCTATTGTAAACCAATTTTTGGTAACAAGATCTAGGCATTGAATATTTGATGTATTGTGAGTTTCATATTTATTCTCATTGATGTTTATTTTGTTGGGTGTGCTTAATTGAACAATTTTGAAGGAGAAGTGTTTTGTTAACATTTATTTTTAAATTAATGTTATTAATACTTGGCTAAAGTGAAGTCGGCCACAATAGTAGCTCAAACATAAACACCCTTACTTCTATATAGCCTTATGGTTATTTGAAAAAATATCAAACTTAAGAATCTAAAATCAGATATTTTCCTCAATTGAAATTTAACATTAACTTTTGTTAAAAATTATTTAAGTCTACAAAACAAACATTTATCTATAATTTTATTTTCATTGAAGTGAAGGATTATGTTAGTAGAACCTGAATGCAGTTAATACAATTATAGTGTAGCAGTACCTAGTTTTTCTTTTGGTCATTTTTTACAGTAATTTTATATATTAATCATCCCTGTGGAGCACTCTTTGTTAGAGAAATTCGGATCGCTTTCAACGTTTTTAGAACTAAATGTTTTAATTTGTATACATCCGTGTTTCAATGCATATAATTCTATAATGTTTGAATGTTTCTTTATCTACATATGATCTAAGTAGTTTGCTTTATTTGTTAAATGTCAAATTCACATTTGATGCCATAGTCTGAGACCCATGCAGACTATTAGATGTAAATCCACCATCTGCTGATGCTTCATTTAGTGTTGTTGCATATTGTGTTACACAGCCCTGTGAAGAATCAATTCTTTTCTTACTCATTTAAAATAATATAAGAAATAAATTACCTCCATATCATCATTTAATAATAATAAATGCCAGTAAAGATAAAAATATAACATTTTGGACAGCATAAAAGGCTAAATTTGAAATAGAATTGTTTCTTCTCTGTGAGTTTTTGTATATTTGAAAGTCACTTCTTAACTGGATTTCTTTTTTTATGTTTTCTTTGCAACTTTGTGTAATTTTAAGTTGCATCACCCTTTCCTTTGGTTTCCAGATACCATTTAAAAGATGTGATAGTTGGTAAGATTTACTTCTTGCTGGTCCGCATCAAAATCAAGCACATGGAACTGCAAGTGATAAAACGCGAGACCACTGGCACAGGTACTTTTACATTTACAGGTATCACATACGTTCATAAAATCGCGCATGGATCATGCCTCTTGAAAACCACTAGTGGCAGGGGAGAAACTCGGCTTGATTTATTAGTTTGCTTTTTTTCCTTTTTTTTTTTTTGTGTGTTGCTTTCTTTTTTTTTTTGGTCTAAAAATATATATAAATGTGTTTGTACATCTCTTTATTGTGGCTTGCTTGATGCTGAGCTATATTTATATAGTTTAATCTTATTTTTTTGATTTATTAGTTTGCTTTTTTTCCTTTTTTTTTTTGTGTGTTGCTTTCTATTATTTTATGGTCTAAAAATATATATAAATGTGTTTGTACATCTCTTTATTGTGGCTTGCTAGATGCTGAGCTATATTTATATAGTTGAATCTCATTTTAAAAAAAATAGTATTATGCTGCTGCCATGCCTCTAAATGGATGAATAAAATTAGCGTTCATTTGATCCTTTCTTTCTGTTGTCAAGTTTTTACGTATGATGGGCTCACCTGAAATATTAAGTTAAGCAAAGTTATGTGATGGGCAACATTATTTATACAGCTGCATTGCAAGTTAAAAAACAACAACATGGAAATAAATTTTTTATTAAAAAGAGGAGGATAATAATGCAATTTTAAATAATCATGCAAATTAAAAAAAATTTATCAAAATAATCTTGCAATCTATATTATTATTTGGAAAAAGAAGCTTTTACTCTTTATAATGAAGGCCCTTAAAACTTAAAAAATTGGTCAATATAAATATTGGAAATTTTTCTGTAATACTTTTGCTTTCTTCTTCACATTTTCTCATAGCTGTTGCGCACAATCTGTTGTATTGAATTTATCTATTCATCGAATATACATCATTTTTTTTTACATTTCTTTTTATAAAATATTATAAGACTTTAAACTTCTGTAATTTTATGTGAAAAAGTCTGTCTTTAGTACAGAAATACTTATTTAAGTTACTTAATTTAGCTTAGAAATGAATTCATTATTGACTATGAAACATCCTAAACATTTTGCAGGAAATAAAAGAAATCGTCGTGGTAAAAATGTATTTGAAGCTTTATTTAATTTACAGTTTCTTTCATATTTAAATTTTAAAATTAATTTTAGTTTTCCATCACAAAATTCTATAAAGAATGATGTATCAAGTCGTGCAGCAACTCCATGCAAAAAAAAAAAAAAAATAATTTAAAAAAAAAAAATAAGTATATATATATTTAAAAAAATGTTTTCTTTCCCTAAGCTAAAATTATATTCCAAAATTTTCAAAGAAAATGGTTACCCCCCATCGAGCAAAAACCTATTTAATATTTTTATCATCATCATTAAGAACATTTTTTATTTATTTTTTTTTCAATATAGAAAGCTCTTCAGGTAGGAAAAGAATATTATAATTAACAAGTATGGCATTGATAAAATGAGATAACGGTAAACTTGGTTTTTAAAAAAATCTCTGAAAACTGGCTGGGATTTAAAAAAGCGCATTTTATTTTTCTTCTCACTTTTTCTTGTGTTCCTCTCACTCTGTTTGTGTCCAAGTTATAAATAAGGCAATTAATATTAAATTTTTCTATGCTTCCATTACATGGAAGCTTACATTATGGCTTGAGTATTATCATTTGCATTTCAGTTGGGTATATTTGTCTACCTGAATCTTGTAAATGTTTATCTTCTTACATTTTTGCTAAAATCATAGCTGAATCATGACTGAGCTAAATCCAGGACTTTTTACAAGTTAATTTAAATCTAAACCAAATTTTGTTTCCTCCACTTAATATTTTGTATTTAACTCTAAATATATAGCATCAACATTTGTATGAACTTATCTGTACATGGGTAATATTTGAGAGCAGTTATTGGTAGTTCACAAGTTTGCAAATTTGAAAAAATTAGTGAAGCTGTCTCTTTTTTCAGGACCAAACACATTTAATGAGAATGAAACAATAGCAAAATATGAGATAATGGATGGAGCACCAGTGAGAGGTATGTACAACTAGGTCCCTGACTTTAAACAAAATTAATCTATGTTTAAAACACTTCAAGAAATAATTTTTCTGTGCATGTCAGCCAAGTTTTTTGGCTGAAATCATGTTTCTCGTTGGCCTAATTCAATAGAAAATTTATTATTTCTTGTGTGCTCCTTAAAACATTCTTTCCTTTATCTTAAAAAATCCCCCAAGGATGGTCACGCAGACAAGGAGGGGCAAAAAGTGGAGGAGCTCAATGCAAGGAATAGAAATTTTCATAAGGTCTAAACATGTTCCCCACCCCCCCCCAACTTTTTGAGGACGTCCAGACTACACCAACTCTGGCTTTCTAATAATGATCATTGTGTACTTCCCCCTCCCCCATGTGCACCAGTGCTTGGGACACCTGAAAACTTGTCTTGGTGAAAAGGTCTAAGATCTCCAGAATTCCAATAAGTGGTTTCTAAGTGCCTGTTTGACATCAGTCAAGGCGTTCCTTGTCATATTTAACATCTAACAAATCTCTCAAATTAAATATCTAGAACTAAGAAAGGATGAAGGGTTTTTAAAACTTAAGAAGTTCTGAAAGTTTCATGTCTTGAACGTTTGTGTTTAGGTGAATCTATACCGATTCGACTCTTTCTAAGTGGCTATGAACTGACACCAACTATGAGGGACATTAACAAGAAGTTCTCTGTGAGATATTACCTCAATCTTGTTTTGGTTGATGAAGAGGAACGGCGTTATTTCAAACAACAGGTTTGTAAAGTGATTACCATCACTATTCAATACAAATACCATCATTTGATAGTCCAAACTGAAAAAAAGTAATTTTTGTGTTAGTTTTAAAAAAAATTATTTTAATTACATATTTTCTTATGTTTTGTCAATAATTTGTTTTCAAGAATAATTTTTTCCTCTTAAATTTAAAAATCCAGGAAATCACAATCTTCAGACGAGCTGATAAAATTCGCAAGAATTACCAGGCCGCCCTGTCACATCACAATCCTTCCTTATTATCTGATGGTGGTGGAAGCAGTAAAACCTCATACCAGCAGCATCAAGAAGATAATGAGGAAGATGATAGGAAAGATGAAGAAGAAAAAGAACAGAAAGAGAAATGATACTTATTGCTGTCTTTATTTGTTTATTTGCAGGTTTTGGTTTCATGCTCAATTGATTTCATTCACTTCAGAAATTTGTATTTCCAAATTCAATAGAGCTGTGTCAGGTCTAGTCGTATGGTGGTTGACACATCAATGCATGTTAATGAACTTTTTGTTTGTCTAGTTATGGAACAGATATTTTCATCAGCTTTAGTAAAAATAACTATTAGTACATGCAAAACAATATTTGTGGGGGATTGGATGACACTTTAAAATAAAGATCAGATAACAAAATACAAGATGAGGTCCATTTCACATTTTAAAAAAAAAATATTGTGATTCCAGTTCTGTAATTTTGACCTTTTTTTAAAAATAGAATTATAATTTTTTTAATTTGATGTTCGAATCTACAGCTTGACTTTGGGAAACAGACTCGTGTTAATAATATAAATGTTCAATGCTGCTACAATGTTTTGGGTTACACTAATGGACTGGTCTATAGTGTAAATAGAAAGTGATGCTTTAAGAAAGCACTGGGTCAACCTGATAGTTGTTTCTGAAAGAATTATGTGTATTGGGGGAATGATGAGTTTTGAATGTTTTATTGTGTGGTTATATTTCTGGAATGCAATCTTAAAATGACCTAGAAATGTTGGATTGTAAGTAACGGAGGACAGTTTTTTCCCATGAATCAGTTTATAAAAAATATAATTACATCCAAACAAGTAGTAATATTTTTTAAAATTGAGTTATCTGATTCAAGTCAATAATGAATAGTTGCCATTTAGTTTTTAAAGGGGTAATATAAATATTTTTAAAATTTAAAAAAAAAAAGATCAAAAATAAATTTATGTAGGAAGTAGAAGTGGGTGTGCACAACTTGGCTTAAAATTTAAAGAGATACGTGAGATGCATTTAAAAAAAAACAGACTATACGTTAGCTACATGTGATTGTTTTATGTCTGCAACATAGTCTTTTTAAAAAAAATATGAAATAACCCCTTATCTTAATCCTATGAATGTCCAAGGCTGTGTCTGTTCCTTGAATTTTACCTTCTTCACTGAATGCTGTGTGTGTTGTGTCCATGAACAGCTAGTACTCTGAGACTGAGATGCATATTTTGCTAATGCGGTGTTTTTTGCTGGACAAATAAAATCATAATGAAAAGGACTTGTCACCAAGGATAATTAGTAATATAATAATCACTCTATAAATCTTTAATAATCGATTTTTAATCATTACACAAACTTAATGCTTTTTATTTTCTTTAGTGTTGTCGGTAGCAGTTGTGTTCTAAGACAGTTGGTTTTTTATTAACAGTTAAGGAAAGTGGTGCAAGCATGATGTAGTGAGTTGTTTTCTGATAGTTTCTTTATGAATAGAAATGACTTATTTTTTATGGGTATAGTAAATTGTGTTGTAATATACCTAGTGACGATCAACTCGAAACAATGCTTGGGTCTGTGTCGTTTTGATTAATGTGAGGAGTATGATATCTTTCACTGTTGAAAAATGTGACTCACTGTGTAAACCCACTATTCAATGTTATTATCCATGAAATATGGAGCTGGGAAGAGCTTGGAAAATTATGCCACTAATATCCAAATTCAATAATTGCTTTGATGAACTTGTATATTTCCAGCTTTTAACCTTCCCAGTATATAGATCTTATAAGAACTTTTTAAAGCTGGTTAGAATCAATCTGGTTTCAGCCTAAAACGGCACCAAAAAACTGTTGAAACCATCTGGCGTGTGGGTTGTATAGAAAAGATTTTGTTTGTGCCCAGCAGCCCATGGTCTCATGTTATTACTCCATAATTAGCCCATTATTTTGTCAACATTACTATAACAAAAAAATTACTGATTTCTGTTTATTTGGTTTTGTTATTTTTGTGAGACTCTAGCATTGCTTATGTTATGTTAAATTATAACATTAATTTAGTATTGCATATGTTATGTTCAAGTATAACATTGGTTCAATAAATGTCTTCTTGTTAGCATGTGGATTTGACTCCAGCAGTTAAAAGAAATTACAATTTTAAATGTTATTGGAAAAGTGTATTAATTGAGATTCGCATGAGACCCCCTTGTGTCCATCTGACACCACTAAACTTTTACCTAATCAGATATACAGGAAGTCCCACTTGATTAACTCTTTAAGTTTTAATGATTCAGCATTTTCAGCTCTTGTCCAGCACGCTTTATTTTTTCATTTGCGTGTGTGTATGTGTAGTCTTGATCTGTAATAAAACAGCAAAACCCACACGCACCCCCACAACCCCCCCCCCCACACACACACACACACCCTTTCAGCATTTTCAGCTCTTGTCCAGCACGCTTTATTTTTTCATTTGCGTGTGTGTATGTGTAGTCTTGATCTGTAATAAAACAGCAAAACACCCACGCACCCCCACAACCCCCCCCCCCCACACACACACACACCCCCCAACCTTAAAGATTAATATAAGTTATTAAGATAGTAGTTTACATTGGATTTTAGCAGAAAGTTTAGCTCTGGGGTTTAAAAAGATTTTTATTTCATTTTCCTTCATTCCATCACAGCTAGACTAGTTAATTTGTAAATATGTTAAAAGTAATCTTTAAAAAAAAAATTTTCAATGGAAAAGGTTTGCACATATAATTCATATGTGCTGTATCAAGAGAAACTACAAACTCTGATGTTGTATGCTGATTTTTAATTTGTGAGTATTGGTATTGTTAAGATTTGCTTAACACACTTTTGATACCCCCAAATGTCTTTAGACAAAGCAATAGTTTGTTCCAAGAAATTTTTTACCATATATATGAAAATATATTTTCAAAACCTTTGTTTCTGGGGCGTAATGGAATGCACAGGCAGTTTTCAGTATAAGTATGAGCCCTAGAATTTCAAAATCAATACGCATGTTTGATCAAGTTTTTCTATTCACCTCATATTTGTTTACATTTTTGCTCTGGGAGTTAACAGTGACTGACTGACAACAGACCAATTCAAATTTGAAAAAAGGAAAATCTGTTCATTTGATTTATATTACAACATAGAAGCCATCTTTATTGTGATTAAAACTGTATTTGTAAATTTATTTTTTATATGTCTCCTCCCCTCTTTTTTAACTATTAATTAATAAATTCAAGATCACTACTGCACTAACTGTTTGAATGACTAGTTTATGTTAGTCATTTAGATTACCTTGTCTATTTAACATTGAACGTTCTTTTCCCATTATTTCTATTCTTAACATATGAAAGGATAATCTTATCTAAAATCAGAATAAATATTTTTAATGTTATAACTGAGTTGAGATCAGTCTTAAAATATCCTGGACATTTTTTTCTAAATATTCTTAAGAAATGTTCACTTTTTTGTGTTCCTTTATTATTGCTTAAATACTTTGACTTTTCATGCTACTCTTCATACTAACACTAACAATGCCCTAAACCCCTCCCATATTATTTTTGCTCTAATTGCTTGTGAATGGCTGGACATGTGTGTGAGATTGCATTACACAGCCGGTATTTAAAAGACTAATATTTATGTATTAGTATAATGACAACAAATTTTTTTTTTACTGCACAAGGGGCTTAAAAAAAAACCTGACTGTGAAATCAGTGTACATTCCAGAAATCATGCCAGTTGGCATATGAAAATGTTTTAAAAGTGAACAATTTAGACTCACTGCTTAAAATAAAGTTTCAGTATTTATTTCACTCAGACCTTTCAAATTTTTTTTCCTGCAGCCTTTTGTTTATATTCTGTGGTCTATTAACACATTTCAATTGTAGCTACTGTGCTGTCAGCCTTTGGTTTATATTCTGTGGTTTAACACATTTCAATTGTAGCTACTGTGCTGTCAATCGTTTGTTCAGTTAATTCATGTTTAACTCAGACACATTACTTTGTTCAGCAATGTTTTGCAGACTGTAAGAGCTGCAAGTTATGACTTCCTTGTATTGCCTGTATTTTAGTTGACACCAATGTTTATCAAAATTTTCTAGTTAATTAAAAGAGCGTAATTGAACAAATGTCTATGAATGGTTGTGGGTTCTGTCTTGCAACATTTTAAAATGTTTTGTACAGTTATAAAAACTACTTCTTGTGATAGCAGTAGGAGTGAAAGTGTGAGAAGAGTTTGTACTATTTTGTGAGATTGATTTTGTAGCCCTTCTGTTTTGTTGAATCATGCAGATTTGTCAAAGAATGTGTGAACTCTTCTGTGCAATAAAGATACAAATGACTTTTCTCCATATTGTATTATTATTTTTCTATTTGTTTCATCCAATTTGGACACTAAAAACCAGGGTTTGACACATTTTTGGCCTGCTATGTGGCTTGTATAAGAAATTAGGCTTAATAGTAATAGGTGTGTTTTATAGTGAATGGGATATTGAATTATCCTTATTAGGGTCTTTGGGTAATTTCTTCATACATTTCCCGAAAGAGTGTAAACATTACCCTCTAGCAGCACAAGTTCCAGTTAACTTTGATTTGTTGTCTTTTGTAAATTTTTAGCTGCAGAATAAAATGTCTTCTGGAACTATACATATCCAAAAGTTGAATACTGCCATCCACAGTGGTATCCCCTGGGTCAGAGATAAGTAAATTTTGTTAAAATAAAGAAGTTAGAATTGTTAAATTTTAGTCCTAAGTGAAAAAGAAAATGGCTTGATAAGATCTGAAAAAGAGTTTTAAGAAAAAAAAAAAATTCTGGATGAATGTTGTAATTTTTTTTTATTAATTTCTGTCATTACATTTTAATGACTGCCCTGATTCTTTTAAGTTATTTTAATAACTTTTTATTCAGAATGAAATGTGTTCTAAAAAGTATACTGATCAAAATGCATTTAAAAATAAATCCCACTACATAAATGTCCCATCAAAAAAAGTACATTTAAAAAATGATTTAATCTCACAAATTTTAACAATGACAATGACCATTTTACCATTATTGGAGAAATACCTTAGGGAAAGAGAGAAATGGTAGGTTAGTAGCACACAAAAATTGATGTGTAACACAATCATGTGCCCCAAAGTCTTGAGCTTGAAAGGGGAGACATAATAAAACTCTTAAGGAGTTTGCAATTTTTTGGTACTTTTCCAAATGGTTCTTTCTGTTAACAAGCATTATGAAAGGCACGACTCCAATTTGTGTCAAATAATTCTAGTACAGTTTATCATATATTATTAATTACTGTGCCAAATGTATTTGAAATTTGATGCCACAAATTATATAAAAACAGAAGTAGTGGTCTATTCTTTATAACACTGTCAGTTTACTCAAATTTAATGTGTTTAAAAAAAATAATATTTTCCATCTGAATCGAAATTTATTTTATTAAATGTCATAGGCTCAAAGAAATACATCATTCACTCATCATTTACTAGCTCCATTCCCAACCTGTTGAAATGATAATCAAGAAGTTAAGATACCTGAAACATAATAACTTCCTTCCAATAAAATGGTTAAGTTTTTAATGGATAGCGTTATAATTATTTACAATAAAAAAAAAAAATGTCCACTTGTTAATCAAACAACAATTTGATTTACAATTGGTGACCAGATGCTGGTCATTACAGGGTTAATATTCAAAGGCAGACAGACTGTTTGCTTGTATAACAATTGTAGTTGTAAACACTTGGATTGGTTGGTCCCCAGCTCTGGTAAATAACTCAAGGTAAATAGATGTTACGAAAATACATTTAATGATCCCAAAACTAAAACTCCACCAAGGGTACTAAAAATAGCTCTCCACCAATGGTTCTCATCATTGCACTGTACCAAAGGTACTCAAGCTGTTATCCTCATTTATATGAATGATTCATATATTCCTAGTTATTATGTTATTATGTGAAGAATAAATCCTGATTTCAAATTTCTCAGGTCATGATCAGTTGGGCAGTTTTAAGAGGGTTTGATCCAAATACTGATTTTGTCAGTTTCTTTTGTTAAGATGTGAATAAATATTCAAGATTTTAAATTAATTTCAACAAATCGTTTTACATCAAAATGGATAGTGGATATATGCATGCCAAAAACATTTTAACATATTAAAACTGAGCAACGTGTGTATGGGGCAAGCTTTTTAAAGCGATGTAAAGCCTAAATCTGATTAAGTTGTACCAATTCACTTGATGGTCCAGCCAGAGGTAATGCAACATGCCAGAAAGGCAGATGTATTAAATCAATTCTGGCACAAGCATACAACCACAAATACAAATACATTTTATGACACTAAGTGGAGGAGAACAAATGCTGATTATTTTTGGAACTCGCAATCAGCAGTAACAAAATTAGAAAAAAATTTTCAATAAATATTTTAGAAAACATATCTGGTGTGGATTTTTAGAAACTCTACTCATATAATGTAAAAATAGTAAAATGACAATACAGCAAAGTGACCAATTATAATCAAAAATAAAACTGGCCCTTCAGAAAGAAAATTGATAAACGATATCCAATAGTTTGCATGACTTGAAAAAAAAAAAAAAGTAGACTAAGTTAAAATGACCAATAAATAACCATACACCACTATTACCATTTAAGAAGCAGATTATTCTGTACTAAGTTGATTACATGAGGTGGCAGAAGATTTAAAGAATTAACTTGAAGTAATTCAACAAATGAACAAAAAATGTATCTGTAGCTTAGCTGTCTACATAACAAGAAAATTCTCTAAATCAACAAGCACATAGATCCTTCAAATTTCAACAAAACAACCAAAACAGTGTTCAGTTTAACATAAATGTAATTAGAATAATCTGCATGCTGGTTAATTAAACAATTGAAGATTCTGTAACATTAATTCAATTATGTAAATACTTTCCAATCTATCAAAAGTAAAAATAAAAAATGAACCTTGGCACCTTCCACTGTTTGGAGGATAAACACACTGAAACTAAATAATGATGAGTAACACAATCTACCATAAATTGTTAAAATTGTTCCACGACTTTTAGCAGGTCTTCCCTGGCATTCAAAAGATAATCAATAAACATAAAAACATGTCATGTAAATTGGCTTGAGTGACATGTTGTTAGAAAACACAACACAAACGCTGTCATATTTTTCCTGACATGAAATGTCTTAAAGTATTCCCTCTACCCAATTAACAATTCTTTAAATATGGGACACATGATTGAAGATTATAAAAATTGTGAGCAACATTGTCAGTAATTATCTAAAGTATGTTGTATTAAAAATTGGAAAAAAACATAAATTGTAGAATTGTTCACGTGAATGCTTGTCAACACAGGGTTCAAATAAAAGTATATAAACATTTAGACATGATTACTTGCTTTATTTCATAAAAACAAATGTTTGGTGTTATTTTCTTGAGAACAATCAATGAATAAACCAGACTCAATATGTTGACATTCTGGTTGATTAGTTCTCAGGGTTATAAAAAAATATAACTTCCCTTACAATGTCATACATTAATACAAATTAATTTAGTCTCTCAACATGCGGTGGTTGCAATTTGTTTAAAAAATGTTGCTGAGTAATTTCTGTTTTATAATTTTTAAAAACACTTTGATGCTCAATCTATAATTAAATTAGTTTTTACTAATGTACATTATTTAGGAAGAGCAATAAATAAATATATTTTGTTATTGTACAGGTACATGGTGAAATAAAAATAATGATGAAATATGATTGGTTGCATAGTTTTCCAGCATTAAGAGTTAGCCAATGGACACATTAGCTGCTGCCTTCTTTAATGACTGCTGAGTTATCTGGCCCAAGTTCAATGAGAACAGGTGGTTTGAAACATTTGTCTTTTGCAATAGTTTCCAAATCCTTTACAAAAAGAGAAAATGAAAACAGATGTTAAAACAACTCTACCATTTTATCTGCAAACTAGAATGTGCATAAATAATGTAAACACATTTTTTAGCAGCAGCAGAGAAGACAAAAAGGTAGATAAAAAATTATTGAATTAATATAATTCTTTTTGGGGTAATAATTCATTTTAGTCTTGATAGTATAATTTGTTAAGTAGCATTTAGGATAAACGTATACATTTTTATGCAAACCATGCAAAGTACTTTTAAATAATCATATTGAAATGATTAGATTTTGAAAAAAACAAACAACCACTATAAAAAATAGTTTATAATAACTTGTATTTACATCAGTGAGTCAAGAGTTACAGTAAAATCTAAGTTTAAGAAATTGACAAACCTCTCCAAAGTAGGATACAAGTGGAGACACTTCTACAATGATTGTATCTTCTTCATCTTGACTTTGTTGACTGGAGACCAATAAAATAATTAATTTCAAATCACAATGGATAATGATTTAATTTCACTTATACAAGCATTATGGAGATTGATTTAGTTTGTGTGTTTGAAAGATTACTTTAAAATTGTTATTACGTTAAAATAGTCCTATTTTAGAATTAAGTTTAACAGATTGTTTTTATCCTCTTAATTATGATGAAAATGAATAAGTACAATATTAATCATAACTTATTTCAATTTTTTTAATCAAAAAAGAAATATGATCTTATTTGGTTAAATCATAATATGCTTATAAAATTTTTTAAATTTCAACTATCATGATATCTCTCATATTAGTTTCTATATTTATGGAAATGAAATTATTGAATTTTAAAATTTCATAAATCAGAAAACTTTATGTGCAAAGAGAGAGAGATGAAAAAGTAAATATTGTGAACTGACAATATTAAGGACATAAGAAAGCACACAGTCCACATAGACAGTGAGAACAAATATTTTCAAGGCACTGGTTCTTGAAATTTAACAATTTAAGAACATCCTATTCATGTAAATTTTGGGGGGAAACCAATTCAATAATCATAGGCATTCATTTTCCTCCCTGTGATTTAAATGCTTCTATCTATTTTTGTTGACCCCCAATAATAAAATCACTCACCACCAAAGGTCTACAAACCACAGGCAAAAAAACTGCTGCTCTAAGTAATTTGTGTATAAAGAAAGCTTTTATGACCATAGGCAGTTTCCTTTAATCAAGGTTTGATAGCTTTTATTTTCCTTATCTCACTGTGTTATTTTGTGACTGACAAGATTGAGAAATGGTTTACTTACCCATTGCTACCATTCTCGTCATTGTTATTATTTCTGGAGATTCAAACAACAAAACATACAACATTTCATGCACATGCAGCAATGAGTCATTTTAACAAAAATTTCAACACAACATTGATTATTTAACATAGGATTGTTTTAGTATATATTAAATGAAAATAATTTTCCTTTCAGAAAAATTTAACACGATGTTATTTAAAGAACATTTTGAGACCTTGTTATTTTACTGAGCTCACATGAACAATGTTAATTAATGGGTTTAATATGTTCCCACAGCAAACTTAATTTGATGTAATTCTTTTAATCTTAATCATACTGAAGTTATGTATGTACATATTAGCTTAATCAATTCTGAAGTTGTGTATGTATAATTAACTCAATCAATTCTGATGTATGTATATATTAGCATAATCAATTCAGAATTTATGTTTGTATAATTAACTCAATTAATTCTGAAGTTTTGTATGTATATATTACCTTAGTCACATTTTATAAACTGATAACTATTAACACATTTATTTATTCAAAGGAAGTTGTCCATGGGATAAGTGGATGAAGCATATGTGAACATTTCATGCAGTACACATAATAAGGATAAGGTGTCAGCTAAAAGTTCACAAATAGTTCACTCTTAGAATTAAGAGTTAAGAGTTAAAAGCATGAGAGAGGTTACAGAATATTGTTAAATATTTTGTTGCTATGTTTCTTGGAGCCGTAGCTCAGTGGTATTCAATCTTGAATATGTCCACCCTCAATCACACTTTTCAAACTATTTATAATAATTCAAGGGGTTCACTAGCTAAAAAGTTTGATTACCGCTGTTTTTTTAAGGAAATGTACAATCATATGAAACAAAAAGAGTTTTGTAATGCTTCAAAAGGCTTGGCTTACTTTTACATTAATGATCATTTGACCTCTTGAACATATTTCTATACTTTTCCAAAATTACCAGCCGCTCTAAGTGAGTTTAGTATTGACCTTTATAGATGATGACATAATTTATCCATTTAGCTTCATTGGAATGAATTTTTAAAAAAATTGTTTCAGAATTCAAATCTTATACTTTTATTTTAAAAAAATATTGTTTTGTCAGTTTACTTTGAACTCAATAATTACAAGATTTATTTGATTGAAATCCAACTGTTTCTATAAAAAAAAAAAAGAAGAAAATATATATCAAATGCAATCCTAAAATATTTTTTTTCTTTACTATTATTTCCTATTTTATAAATAAAAAAGACTAAAAAGCAACAGAAACAATTGGTAACTCAGGAACAACAATTTGTGAAATCAAATCAACCAATTAAAAAATTTGCCTAACTCACCTCTGTATATCTGTGTACGGTGTGCCATCAGAATGAACAAATCTTCCACCGGCCGCTAGCACAAAGCGATGATGTAAACTCATCAGATCATTCCGGCAGGTTGTTGGGGTGTCTTTGGGCTGGCCGTCAGCGTTCTTCAAGGGGGAGAACTCATCCTCACGAAGCACCTCCCAGACAGCAAAGTTCCTAGCACATTTTAAAACACAGAGACACGGACAAAACCAAGCACAGAGGTGGGTGGGTAACAGAGGGCAATGGATGGTGCAGGATGGTGAAAGTGACAGAGGGTGTGAGTCAGGTGGCGAGTGTGACAGATTTTTTTATATTCATAAAAAAGGAACAAATCATGGAAAGTAATTTTGTTTCAGGTTAGAGTTGAAAGGTCAATGCAAGGGATTTGATTTTACAAAAAAAAAAAGATTTTTTTATGGTTTGTAATTTCATTGAAAAAATAAAATAGTCATAAGTTGACATGATTTAAATAATGAATTAATAATGATGTTTTATATTTATATGCATACCGGGTATTAACAGTTTAATATTTGTATATAAATAAATATGCAAAGGGATTGCAAGCAGAAGCATAGAGAGCCAAAATGTGTAATTGTAAACAGGCAGATTAGTGCAGAATAATTAGACCCATGCAAGATGTACCACACACCAACAAACAAACAAAGAACAAAAAAGAAGAGAGAGAGAGAGAGAAAAAAAGCCCTGTTAATTCCAATTGCGCCATTAAAAATTATATACACTTGTCAGTAGGCCTTAAATGTAAAGCTGACGATTAAATATATTACATTACAATTTAAGCAAATGTTTTAGGAAGCCTTTACAAATATATATATATATATTGAGAAATGATCTTGAAATACATATATGTATATATTTTTGAACAAGTTTCCAAAAACATATTATTATGCTAAAGTTATAATTCCAACACAAATTATATACAATATGATGTATTTGTAAAATGCCAATGTTTCTGAAAGGAAGGTCAAACATGTTGCAAATGACTTCTGCAAAGTTATGTGCATTGTTAACTAAAAATTTAGTAAAAAGCAAAAGTGACTTGAAAAATAATTCAACTCAAACAACTTAAAACACGAATTTATATAACAAGTGTTAATTCAAATAACATTAGTTAAAATTATATAAAATAAAGCACAATCAACAGACCAATCCCACAAAATTATTGTATAATAAACTACAGCTTGTAATAAATCAATTTCATAGAAAATGCAACATCATACTAATGTTAGTGGTGCAAAGCTATTTTTCACTGCTGACTCTTGTTGTCATTTAGGAAATAACAGAATAATTTCAGTCTTCAATTTGTATACAAATTTAAAGGAAAATATTTTTTTTTACTTAAGAACTCATTTTACTTTAAGTCTACTGATTAAAGGCCAGAAAAAAGTTTGTTTTGTTTGCCTATGTTGTATTAATTGAAAGTTTTGCTTTTATTTTTTTCTGTGGATTAATTGGAACTGTAACATTGACTTTGCATCTTATTTTGTAGAAATGTCATTGTCATTCTACCAATGCAACTTTTCATTAAACCCATGCAAAGCCCACATGCACTTTCTAACATGATAACACTTCTTGTGAGCACCATTTGTTATGATACATACACATTAGAAGTGAAGCTGTTATTGTGAAAGAACTGTCTAACATTGCTGATATAGGACAAATGTTGTCAAAAAACCTTCATGACTTATACAAATAATTTTAGAATCTATCAGATGTCAGAGAACATATTATAATGTTTTAGTTTTTTTTGGTAAGAGATCTATATATATAGATAATTTTTACAATTTTTTTGTTGTTGAAGTTCAAATGATAACTTCTGTGAACTGAAGGTAGTGAGCAATTACCAGCTGTCTTATGAGAATGTTAACTCACTGTGCAAAATGGAAGACATCAAAAACAAATTTCTCCATCTTTATGCCGTTTGGTGAATCTGGTTTCTGAAGTTGCCCGTCGGAATCAACATAAGGGATCTTCTTTTTGGCCACGTGATGTTTCAGCTGGGACTCATTCTCTTTCCTGGCCAGGAATACAAGTTGAAGATTTTCATTTGTGTATGAAAGCTCTCAATCAACATGTCCATATTTTGAAAATAATGTAATGGAAATATGCAACGTTTACTTTTTCCAGGGCTTATAACTTTAGAATCCATCCCCCAGTTTAAAACGTGTGAAAGTTATTTAAAGCTAAATCAGTACATGATCATTTAAATAGATTATTGTGTCATTAGTCTGGGCTGATTATTTTCTCTTCTTTCTGAAACATTAAAGTTGACCTGGATTCTGACATACAGAATTAACTTCACTGGAGTGGTAACAAGTTCAAACAATTTATGTACCAACTACAAAGCCTTGCATAGTTTTCAAAGCTGTAAAATTAATTACTACAGCTTATCAAAAACACACACACTTACAGGCACACGTGTTTGAGGAAGTCAACTTTAAAGAAATGGTTGCATATATTTCCAGCATTGAACAAAAGTCGTCCGTCTGCTGTCCTCTTCTCTGCAGTTTTTAATGTGATCTCACTGTACTCCACGACCTGGTACTTGCCATTGACCTTACACACAACACCCACAGCTTCCTTAGGCATGGTCTTTTCCACAACCTGTTCACAAAAAGTGGAGAAACATCAAGGGACATAAGAAGCTTCAGATAAGGTTACTACTAGCAGACAAAATCTGAGACGATATGAACAGATGTTCATCATTAGTTACAGAAATAAAGAAGATTTTCCTACATTTTAAAAAAAAAAACTTAGCAATTTTCGGCTGACTCACTTCAAGTGTTATTTTTTGCAATCAAATAAGAATTATTTAAAATATTGCAAGAATTGGCAGTAGACTTTAACTGTTAAAGAACAAATATAATTTAAGATAGGAGATGGAGAAAAAACTGGTCATTGTCATAATTGCTAAATATTGCCACAATCATGAAGGTTAAGTTTCTATGTTACAGTAGGAATAGGTGAAAAAAGCAAAAACTCTTCTAATCCAAGTTTCACTCTATCTGTTATGATCCAATTGTTCTCGATACAATCAACTTAGCTTTTCATAATAGCTTCTATTCTCTAGACACTGACCTTTGCCCCACACTCCACATCTTTGCTCAGGCAGAAACCAATGAACACGGGGTCGGCCATTTTAACCAATATGTTGTCCACACAGTAGACATGAACATATTTCACTCCTCGTAACGTAAGGTCATCAAGGACACCATTATTTCTAAGGGCTTGGTACAAGCCTCCATTGCCAGCTGACAATAAAAGAACAACTTGTTACATATGTACACAACACACATATGTACACAACCTACATATGTACACAACACACAGATGTACACAACCTACACGTGTACACAACATGCATATGTACACACCATGCATATGTACACACCATGCATATGCACACAACATACATATGTACCCAAACACTGCAGGTAACTCATGTATTAACTAGGTATTCATTCAAAGCCAGATAATTTATAATTCAATGGAAAATTTGTAGCTTTGTAAGGTCAAGAAAATTATTACTAATCGATATTTACTCCTGTGTATCTGTATCAGAATTATTTTATAATAACTACTTGAATTTGATTAACAGATTAAATTTTTTTAAATATTTTATATTTTTTTATAATAACTCCCATTTAATATCAATGAGAACTATTTGATATTGGCTCTCATATATTAAGGATCACAACAATCAGCAGTCACAGTCAACCCGTACCTGGAGCCAGTGCCACCTTAGATTGAGATTCTAAAATAATTTTGCCACTGAAGTCAAAACAGGGGAGCAAACTCTGCTCAAACAATATGACATTTTCTTTACTAAGGCCAAAATGGTTGTTTTTCTGGAAAAAGGTATCTGTTGCTTCTTTTGTGTGTTCACTTGTCATAATGTACCTGGAAAAGTAATTATAGAATGTAACTGTCATAATGTACCTGGAAAAGTAATTATAGAATGTAACTGTCATAATGCTGAAATACATGTGGATAAATATTGACACTATTTCTAATAAAAGTCAAGATGGAGTTTTCACTAAAATGTAATAAGCAGCATTAGCAAGTGGTATACTAAAAAGTCCCATGAACTTTCATAGCTGACTTTATACGTAAAATTTATATTATTTTTCTTTTAAATGGACGGCATGCACCCACATACAATGATTACTAGCACCCACATACAATGATTACTAGCACCCACATACAATGATTACTAGCATGCACATACAATGATTACTAGCACCCACATACAATGACTGCTATAAGCAATGTACGTAGACAAGACTATTAAATTGCCAGTTACCATGGCACATTGCATGATTTGCCAGTCTCCTGCTGAGCCAACTTCTCCAGCTTCAGTAGCCTCTCAGCTTGTATCTGGTACAGGGTCTTCCCAGAAGGAAGCCCAACATTGTACATCCCTTTAGGGTAAGGGACCCCCAACCTTGTGCCCTGACCTCCAGCTAGCAGTAGCACTGCCACTTCGTTGTTACCTATGGCAGTTAAACCTGGCCAAGAAAGATTTTAAAGTCAGGGGTTTTATTTTGTCACACCCTAAATGGATCATAATAAAAAGGACAAAACTGACATATATTTCAGGTCAAGTCAATGGCTTTATAAAGGTAATAAACACTTTGTTAAGGCAATAAGACATGATATAGAGTCTTTATGTGTAGTTCAGTTGGTGAAGAAATCAATTCTTTCTCTTCATTAGTTACCTTTCTCAATTAAGGATTGAAATGAATCAAGGAAAAACAGCTGTGATCAATCTTTACCTGTTTTCAAATATTTTTGTAAGAGTTCTTCACTGCTCCTGGCAACACTCCCGCACACTGCAGGCTCCAAGGGCATCAAGTGTTCATCTATTTTTTCATTGGTTTCTTTCAGGGAAGCGTCAGCTTCTTGGAAATACTCATTGGCTTCCTGGAAATCAAATCAATTTGCACTCCTTTAATCAACATTTCATTGTATTAACAAACTCTGAAATATTAAAAAGTCATGAACAGGGCAAATATTTTTATTCTCAAGGTTTCGCATTGATAGATGAAACATGGACATTTATGTCACACTAATGTCTTCTTAAGTTTCCCTTTGTTATGTCAAGCATGGAAATTTATGTCACACTAATGTCTTCTTAAATTTCCCTTTGTTATGTCAAACATGGAAATTTATGTCACACGATTGTCTTCTTAAATTTCCCTTTGTTATGTCAAATATGGACATTTATGTCACACTAATGTCTTCTTAAGTTTCCCTTTGTTATGTCAAACATAGAAATTTATGTCACACTAACGTCTTCTTAAGTTTCCCTTTGTTATGTCAAACATGGAAATTTATGTCACACTAACATCTTCTTAAGTTTCCCTTTGTTATGTCAAACATGGACATTTATGTCACACTAATGTCTTCTTAAATTTCCCTTTGTTATGTCAAGCATGGACATTTATGTCACACTAATGTCTTCTTAAGTTTCCCTTTGTTATGTCAAACATGGACATTTATGTCACACTATTGTCTTCTTAAATTTCCCTTTGTTATGTCAAACATGGACATTTATGTCACACTTATGTCTTCTTAAGTTTCATTTGTTATGTCAAACATGGAAATTTATGTCACACTAATGTCTTCTTAAGTTTCCCTTTGTTATGTCAAACATGGACATTTATGTCACACTAATGTCTTCTTAAATTTCCCTTTGTTATGTCAAGCATGGACATTTATGTCACACTAATGTCTTCTTAAGTTTCCCTTTGTTATGTCAAACATGGAAATTTATGTCACACTAACATCTTCTTAAGTTTCCCTTTGTTATGTCAAACATGGACATTTATGTCACACTATTGTCTTCTTAAATTTCCCTTTGTTATGTCAAACATGGACATTTATGTAACACTAACGTCTTCTTAAGTTTCCCTTTGTAATGTCAAGCATGGACATTTATGTCACACTAACATCTTCTTAAGTTTCCCTTTGTTATGTCAAACATGGAAATTTATGTAACACTAACGTCTTCTTAAGTTTCCCTTTGTTATGTCAAGCATGGACATTTATGTCACACTAACATCTTCTTAAGTTTCCCTTTGTTACGCCAAACATGGACATTTATGTCACACTAACGTCTTCTTAAGTTTCCTTTGTTATGTCAAACATGGACATTTATGTCACACTAATGTCTTCTTAAATTTCCCTTTGTTATGTCAAACATGGACATTTATGTCACACTAACGTCTTCTTAAATTTCCCTTTGTTATGTCAAGCATGGACATTTATGTCACACTAACATCTTCTTAAGCTTCCCTTTGTTATGCCAAACATGGACATTTTGTCACACTTATGTCTTCTTAAGTTTCACTTTGTTATGTCAAGCATGGACATTTATGTCACACTAACATCTTCTTAAGCTTCCCTTTGTTATGCCAAACATGGACATTTATGTCACACTAACGTCTTCTTAAATGTCACACTAATGTCTTCTTAAGTTTCCCTTTGCTATGTCAAGCATGGACATTTATGTCACAGTAGCTTCTTCTTAAGTTTCCCTTTGCCATGTCAAGCATGGACATTTGTTTCATACTAACTAAGTCCAAACCAACAGGTATAAGAAAGACAAAAGACTATGGCGTCTTACATGGGTTCGATATGGACCACACATCAAACTGAACATACAAATGAGACCTGACTAGCCTGGACTCAATGTTAAAACACATTTTTTGACAGGACACGGAGACACCCTTCTGTATGTTGAAAAAGATGTGTGACTCACCTTCAGGTTGATGTGTTCGATCTCAGCTACAAGAGACTTCTGCTGCTCCTCATTCAGCTGATCCCAGAACTGGAGCAGGTGACCTTGACCTTCCTCTTCACACCTCGCTTTTAGACTGTCAAAATCCATCTTGTGGTGTTGATCTCTTGAAATAATTTTGTTTAATCTGAATGGAAATTCTGTGTGTCCGTAGTGTGAAATAGTTTGACCCCTGTATGTCAATTACACTTAAATATCAAACGCCGCGACCTCAAGACCACAAGTCAACTGAAAGGACAAAATTTAAAAAAAAATCTTAACTAGGTCACTTGTTAAATTATTATTCTGAATGCACAGATATTATGACGATGCCATAAATTGTCTGTGTTTTAATGTCTTCCCAACAAACACTGACAAATTTAATTGACAACAACAAGTCTCATTCCACTGCCCCACTACCAGGTCACAAAATCACGTCACAAAAGTAAGCAACTTAAGTTAGAGTCCTTGGTCCAATGTATTCTGCCTCCTATTTAGTCCAATTTATTCTGCCACCTATGGCTTAAACCAAATTTTGATGACATAAAGAATTGAGTGATTGAAAATTAAAAGTATTTAATAATTCAAACAAAAACAAAAAAGCATACATTTACAAAATCAGAAGAAATCTTTTCATCTCCCATCTCTGTCTCCACATGATATTTTTTCAAACACTTTGTGCCATAATTTATCCAAGAATAGTTTTATCAACAATCTTACCGTGGAGAAATCTTTAATCTCATTAATTATTCATTTAAAAAAAAAAATATAAAGCTCCATGTGATTAATTCTACTTCTAGGTCAAAGTTCATGAACTGCTACAGAAATACCTTGGCTGAGACAGCTTGATCTTCAGCCTGGGTTAGTCTTTTACAGTTTAAATGATAGAATGGTCTAGACTTTGACATTTAGACTCATACTGATTGATAGACTGACCTTGACTTAGACAATTGGACTGAAAAACAGGTCTAGACTTGATATTTGGAATGATAAACTGGCCCATACTTTGACAGTTTGATTCAATGATTGTTAAAAGTTAGAGCGGTCTAGACTTTGACTGTTTGAGATTTAGCCTGGTCTAGACTTTGACTGTTAGAAATTTAGCCTGGTCTTGACTTTGACTGTTAGAAATTTAGCCTGGTCTTGACTTTGACTGTTAGAAATTTAGCCTGGTCTAGACTTTGACCATTAGACTGGCTTGGAATTTAGACAGTTGGACCTTGAGACAGACTTAAACTTCAAAAATTTGAGCAATGGCCCAGCCGAATGATTCTCAAAAGGACACATTTTTGATAAGAACAACCTTGACCATAAACCCAAATGTATAGCCACGGGTCAGGGGTCAGATAACACCAAGGACACCACCGACTCCACTGATGATCATTTTGTAGATTTGATCATTAACTATTATCAGTGGCCAACACTGGGTCTACCATATCGTCTTTTCTGATAAAATACATTTCCAGGAACTTTAAGTATCAGAATTTTAAAAAAAAATCTTTAAAGATAGAGATTTGAAGAGGGATTCAGGGTTAATAAAATAATGGGAGGGGTGGGGGGATCATTTAATAGTTCCCAGTAATATTAGGATAGTCCCTCGTGTGTTTGTATGACAGGAGGCATAACTGTGACTGGAGATAACAGAGTATACTACTACTTGAACCATGTCAGATTCACTGCACTCCCTCGATAAGGGGAGATAATATTTGTTATACAAGAGTTACTGAAGGTTGTAAATAGGCTAAATAGCACCATTTCGTTTTTGGCGCAGTAAAAATGTAGTGGAGAGGTTCCCATAGAGCCGTAGAAACAACAATGTAGTGGAAAGGCTCTAACAATGTAGTGAATAGGTTCTAAAAATGTAGTGGAGAGGTTCTAACAATGTAGAGAATAGGTTCTAAAAATGTAGTGGAGAGGTTCTAACAATCTAGTGAATAGGTTCTAAAAATGTAGTGGAGAGGTTCTAACAATGTAGTGAATAGGTTCTAAAAATGTAGTGGAGAGGTTCTAACAAATTAGTGGAGAGGTTCTAACAATGTATTGGAGAGGTTCTAACAATGTAGAGAATAGGTTCTAAAAATGTAGTGGAGAGGTTCTAAAAATGTAGTGGAGAGGTTCTAAAAATGTAGTGGATAGCTTCTAACAATGTAGTGGAGAGGTTCTAACAAAGTAGTGAATAGGTTCTAAAAATGTAGTGGAGAGGTTCAAACAATGTAGTGGAGAGGTTCTAACAATGTAGTGGAGAGGCTCTAACAATGTAGTGGAGAGGTTCTAACAATGTAGAGGAGAGGTTCTAACAATGTAGTGAATAGGTTCTAACAATGCAGTGGATGGGTTCTAACAAGTTAGTGGAGAGGTTCTAACAATGTAGTGGATAGGTTCTAACAATATGGTGGAGAGGTTCTAAAAATGTAGTGGAGAGGTTCTAATGTAGTGGATAGGTTATAACAATGCAGTGGATAGGTTATAGCAAGTTAGTGGAGAGGTTCTTACAATGTAGTGGAGAAGTTCTAACAATGTAATGGAGAGGTTTTAACAATGTAGTGGAGAGGTTCTAACAATGTAGTGGAGAGGTTCGAATGTAGTGGAGAGGTTCTAACAATGCAGTGGAGAGGTTCTAACAAGTTAGTGGAGAGGTTCTAACAATGTAGTGGAGAGGTTCTAACAATGCAGTGGAGAGGTTCTAACAAGTTAGTGGAGAGGTTCTAACAATGTAGTGGAGAGGTTCTAACAATGCAGTGGAGAGGTTCTAACAATTTAGTGGAGAGGTTCTAACAATGCAGTGGAGAGGTTCTAACAATGTAGTGGTGAGGTTCCCATAAAGTTTTGGAAACACTAATGTAGCGTGTTCTACACATTTCCCTTTACCACACAAATACATTATTAAACCAACCAAAAAAAAACAACAAAAAAACAACTCACATGAATAAACACCCCCCCCCCTCCCCCACAATCCTCTTCACCACATCCACCCTCAGGATTAGGTTTCTACTACTTCTTATCATTACACAGACATTACAAACATTTTTTACCCCAAAAGTATAGTATAGGGGTCATTTCATCAAAACAGTCTCATTTGCACTCAGAATAAGCAATGTTAGGCCTCTATTGTTAGTACGGTACTCACTTTACTCACTGCTCGACTATGGATTATTTGATTAGTGGTGAACACACTATACACACACACACACGCAGTATAACCGCATAGAGCACATGATTTAGAACACGTGCCGTCATTTATATCAACAGAGTTAACCCCTGGGCGTCCGTTCAAAAGAAACAACAATGTAGGACAGACTGTGCAGCCACAACATAAGCAGACCGGCATAGGACTTACGTGCATGACACGGCCATCAACGTCTACTCAAATAAGTGTCCTACCTCGCCAGGAAGTTATCGTCACAGTTCGCCATCGCAGTGCCCACCCCTAACCCCATAGCACCTCCCCCACCCCACACACACCCACAGATACCTGTTGCGTCACCTTAATCTGATATAGCCTACACACAAACCATTGAGGAGTACTAGGCCCTGGATTGGATGGAGAAATACCATCAATCTACTGTAGAAAACTAATACGGTTCGTGATGACCCAGTGGACAGTGGTAGGCCAGTGTCTGTGAGTCAAACCACTCATCGGTGGCTTGTCCAATCACGACATGCTTCATGTGACGTCACGGTTTATTAATTTTTATAACATGCGTGGTATGACGTCATTGATGTGCGTTCCTTTAAATTGGCACAACTAGTTTACTTTTAATCACCCCCCCCCCCCCCTGTTTGGTGGGAGAACTTTTTTTTAAGGGCGGGAGGGGTAGGTGGACGAGACGTCCGCAGTATAAACTGTCACATGATGATGACATCACCAGTGACACGAGATAACATCTGAAGTCTCAAAATAAACAGGGGTGACACCTTTCAGATGTCATTGGCCATAACTTACCCTAAGCAGTGGCGTACCTATAGTATGGCAGATGCCCTGGGTGCCACTTGAAAGGGCGCCAGCAACCTTAATTTCTATTAATTCCATAGACATTCACAACTCTCTCAGAGTTTACACTGCGGAAATTACACACTTAACAGTATACACCCAGTATATTTTTCTATCTTATGACACACTTTAACAGGATACACCCAGTATATTTTTCTATCTTATGTCACACTTGAACAGTAGGCACCCAGTATAGTTTTCTATCTTTGAATTTTACTTGCAAAAGTATTAAACAGGCTTCCTAATTATCCACTACAAAGTCTTTAAAAGTAGCCCCGAAACTGAGCAACAGGGCGCCTAATCACCCAGCTGCACCCCTGCCCCCCAAGTCACTGGGTCAAATTCATCGGGGTACTTCATTGACAAGATTCCAAGAATTCAACTATTCCAAGAAATGATCTGTCGTGTTTCCAGTGATAGACATTGTCAGACAAGTCCAGCCTCGTGAACCTAACAATGCACAGAAAGAAAAAAACGCGGACTAGCGGATTTATAGACTCAACATCTGTCCAGACAATGAATGAATGTTTGTGTACACAAAGTCTCATTGACACTCGTTAAGTAGATACTGGAAGCCATATTGTGAACTAGTTGTATTCACTAGCTGACTTTTACAAGCATCGATAAGGGTGTTTAAAAAAAACAACAACATATATCGTTCCGGTACCTGACAATAATAGCGATACCGATACCTGACAATTGTACTCACCGTTAAATCCTTCATCAATCTCCTGTGTTACGTAACAAATCAAATATCCACTACGTAACAGAACACCACAGAACACTCCAATTCGTACAATGCGGTATTGTCTGTTCACGACACACTCTTACCCTATATATCCCAAACCATATCCGCGACCACTCCCCTCATCCACGCGTGGCTGAACAGCGTCGTCACACCTGTACATCCTAGACCTGGGCTAAGCCGGTGGATGAATTAATGCCGCGCGTATTTCAAGCCGTTCAAAAGTCAGACACTCATCATTCAAGACAACCCGGCCATCCACTCCCACCCAACAAAAGTCAGACACTCATCATTCAAGACAACCCGGCCATACACTCCCACCCAACAAAAGTCAGACACTCATCATTCAAGACAACCCGGCCATCCACTCCCACCCAACAAAAGTCAGACACTCATCATTCAAGACAACCCGGCCATCCACTCCCACCCAACAAAAGTCAGACACTCATCATTCAAGACAACCCGGCCATCCACTCCCACCCAACAAAAGTCAGACACTCATCATTCAAGACAACCCGGCCATCCACTCCCACCCAACAAAAGTCAGACACTCATCATTCAAGACAACCCGGCCATCCACTCCCACCCAACAAAAGTCAGACACTCATCATTCAAGACAACCCGGCCATCCACTCCCACCCAACAAAAGTCAGACACTCATCATTCAAGACAACCCGGCCATCCACTCCCACCCAACAAAAGTCAGACACTCATCATTCAAGACAACCCGGCCATCCACTCCCACCCAACAAAAGTCAGACACTCATCATTCAAGACAACCCGGCCATCCACTCCCACCCAACAAAAGTCAGACACTCATCATTCAAGACAACCCGGCCATCCACTCCCACCCAACAAAAGTCAGACACTCATCATTCAAGACAACCCGGCCATCCACTCCCACCCAACAAAAGTCAGACACTCATCATTCAAGACAACCCGGCCATCCACTCCCACCCAACAAAAGTCAGACACTCATCATTCAAGACAACCCGGCCATCCACTCCCACCCAACAAAAGTCAGACACTCATCATTCAAGACAACCCGGCCATCCACTCCCACCCAACAAAAGTCAGACACTCATCATTCAAGACAACCCGGCCATCCACTCCCACCCAACAAAAGTCAGACACTCATCATTCAAGACAACCCGGCCATCCACTCCCACCCAACAAAAGTCAGACACTCATCATTCAAGACAACCCGGCCATCCACTCCCACCCAACAAAAGTCAGACACTCATCATTCAAGACAACCCGGCCATCCACTCCCACCCAACAAAAGTCAGACACTCATCATTCAAGACATCCCGCCCACCGACTCCCACCCAACAAAAGTCAGACACTCATCATTCAAGACATCCCGTCCACCGACTCCCACCCAACAAAAGTCAGGCACTCATCATTCAAGACATCACGGCCATCCACTCCCACCCAACAAAAGTCAGACACTCATCATTCAAGACATCCCGCCGACCGACTCCCACCCAACAAAAGTCAGACACTCATCATTCAAGACAACCCGCCCATCCTATCCCACCCAACAAAAGTCAGACACTCATCATTCAAGACAACCCAGCCACCCACTCCCACCCAACAAAAGTCAGACACTCATCATTCAAGACATCCCGCCCACCCACTCCCACCCAACAAGAAGGTTGCTTTAGGAATAGACAATGTGACGTCATCCATCACCCGGGAGGTAGAGGTTAGAAAGTGATCTCCCCTTGAAATCTTGTATCCCACCATGATCTTAAAAGACAACCATAAATGTATGCTAGAAATACGCAGTCAGCAGTCTACAAGGGCTTAAGGTTAATGTAGGATTAATTCATAAAACATCAGACCTTTTCAGAAACCTAGGAAAATGAACGTAAGAACTTTAACCCATTTTCCCATTGTCCCGTGAAATATAACCGGCGGCGAGACAGTGGGCAGAGTCTGGGCTTTGTAGGTGTGCATCAACCCAGTAGTGTTAGACAGTGGACAGAGTCTGGGCTTTGTAGGTGTGCATCAACCCAGTAGTGTTAGACAGTGGACAGAGTCTGGGCTTTGTAGGTGTGCATCAACCCAGTAGTGTTAGACAGTGGACAGAGTCTGGGCTTTGTAGGTGTGCATCAACCCAGTAGTGTTAGACAGTGG